TTTTCAGGCTGCTGGAAAAAAAAAGAAAAAAAGTCAAATTCTACAACAAGGCTCTTAGAAAAAACATCACATCTTCAATAATTCCACTCTGCTTCAACACAAGTTAGAGGCTTGTAATAAATACATGAGCGCAGCAAGTCGACTGAATCTATATTAAATCTGTGGTTTTCTATCATATTGTGGTTTTTAATCACATTTTTAGAATGACAGTCAAAATAGCATCTCCATCCATTTATCTTCTTAATAATCAGCAATGCTCCTTTGTCTGCTGAAAGATCTTTGGTTTTGCCCACACAAGCCCTAAAAGTAGAAAACATGATGCAACATGCTCTAAACTCCTGATCGCATCCATCTACCCACTGGGAACACATCCTTTGCATCTGCTGAAACTGCTCCAGACTTGGGCAAAATGGAATCATTAAGTATACTAACATTTATTATTATAAGAAAAACTTCAAAACCTAAGCTCTTCCACGTTATATCCTAAAATCCACAGAGATCTCAGATCAAACTTTCAAGGCACTGAAAAACAGCCGCTCTGCCCAAAGTCAATATAACAGTAATCACCTTGGAAAATAAGTCCTTAAGTTTGTTTCGAACTGTGTAGAAAGAACACCATCTTCAACTCGGAGGAAATGTGTGGGTTTTTTTAATTTAATATAATAAGGAATGACACTTTTAGCAGTTTTTAGTTGGTGGTATTTGAACTATGATCTTTGATTTTGTCCTAGAATTCTTCATGTACCTTCTAAAGCCCCAGAAGTCACAGTCTTTTTCTTTCTAATTAAAGTCCCCCTTCTTCAAATGTCTTTCAATCTTTCTCTGGTGTAACATTGAGCTCTCCAAGTTTCCCACAAGCTATTATCCACAGAGATGTCTTTGTCCTCAGCTACAGAGCCTCATTCATCTCCCTTCAAACGGTTTTAGACTTTTATAACGTTGAATAGCAGACAGGAATTTCCGAAAGGTGTTCACTTGTCTCTGGTTTTGCTCATCTTAAACCTAATTGCCTCTGTGTGCAATTCTGTCCAAATCTAGATACATATTCAGAAGTTAACTAGCCGCCTTTCACACATTATCACAAAGCTAATTATAAAATAGAACAAAGTTTGAAATCATAATATAACTGCCTGAAGTATAGGAGAAACATCCCTTAAAATAACTATTTAAATCCACCAAGTACAGAGCGAGATCAGGTGCACAAAGCTCTTCATCCTGCCTGTGCCATGGACATCTAAGGTTGAGCAAGGTGAATTCTATTCCAACTTGGCCCACTCTTGGTCTCCTCTTCTTGGTCCATTAATTGGGCTCAGAAGGCAGTGCAGATGTATTTTCATGTAACAGTGTGTTAGGTTATCTGACTAAAGGCTAAGCAAATTAAACACACGGCCACGGCAAGGATCACAAGAACCATTAGTGAAACGTGAGCACGCTGACTCACTAGTCCTAAACACACCAGAGTGATTCAGATCATTGTCCCTGGTGCAGGGCCCACCACAACAAGGGTAGGAAACTCCCTAGAGGAAGTTGTGCAAGGTGAGGGATTACCTAGAGGGCTTTAAGACTGCTTACAGGATACAGGAGAGAATTTAGAGAGAGTTTGGGGACTACATGAAAAATTCCATAATAAATTTTAAGGGGATTGCAGCAACGTGCAAAACGTACTATGGGATGTTTAATAAAAGCACCAAAGGTGCGTAAAGGGAGGGACTAAGGCAGACTGGAGAGAAACAAGCATGGAAAAACCCCGGATAAAGGGAGGCAGTCCCACAGGGACAGCTTAGCCATTACATCTCAGTGCATGAAACCTGCACTCCATGGCTACATCCCAGCTGATATTCTTTATCACACCCTATTTCTCACTGCTCTGGTGTGCACACACGTGTCAAGGCCAGCAAACTTCATGTGGGACTAGCCCATGAGTAGGACAATAGGAGTATGAGCCGCTGGAGCAAGAGATGGTTGAAGGACTTGAGGCTTAGAGGTAGGAAGAAGGTGGAGGTGTCACACCTAAGCACAGCCTGTGCTCACATGGGTGCCAGGGAAGGACCTGCCCTCTTTCCCCATGTTGGTTTGGGGTTGGCCATGGGTTTATTGTATGGTGTGTGTAGGTGCACGTGGCTGTTGTTTGTATCTTTATGGCCTTGTGGATACAGAGTCACAGCAGCCTGGGATCCTTTGGATGGGCAGGGGAAAAAATCCCCTGGTCCCAAAGGCCAGGGAATTCTGCTACCACAAAGTGAAGAACCCCCACATAGACAGTGGCAAAAAACTCCCATTTTTTACTTGTTCTAAACTTTATATCTATTTCCATATAGACCTCAGAAACCTGAGTGGCAGTTTAGCTTGTTTTAGATACCTAGAATATACACAGAAGAAATTAATTTCTTCAAATATCTATATAATTACATAGTCTGCCTATGATAAAACAGGAATAAAGTCTTGATGACTCCATATATGCTTTATCATGAAGCAGCTAAAATTCACCAAGTCTATGAATACTGATTTAAATATTTCTGTATAAAAGAAGTTACTTCTCTTTCAAACAGTCTTTATGTATCTTCCCAAAATGAAAATACCTACAGAAGTTATCTTTTTTTAATCTGCGGCTATGTAGGCACTGCATTTGGTTTAGAAAAAGAGTTCATAATCTTCCCTTTTTTTTTTTTCTTTTTCTTCCTTCAATCAACCATGCTAAAATTTTGAAGACAATCATTAACAATTTCCTTATATTTTCAGTATCTCATGTGATGCTAAGGATTTTATTCTACGTACAGATATAAATACATGCATTTGCATGTATCCATATTTTTTTGTATATAATGATTTGATAAATCTAGGTAACCCCTTTAAGGTGGTTAAGATGAGGTCTGATTACATCTCTCAAATCACCCAGGGGGGAAAAAAACAAAAACCAAACCAATTAATAAATACTTAAAGAGTTCCAGCTCCTTTAGTGTAATTTCTAAACCATTTCAGTGATGGTCTGTGACAGACTTGTATGAACACTTCTTGCAAGCAGAGCTACCACTTCGCAACTACTATACTTAAATAAGTTTAGAAACCCTACTCTGGGTATCATGGCATTATGTATTTTTGGTGGGTGGTCACAGGAAGCGTTGGAGACCAACTGTAAGTGTTTCCAGAAGGGACAAGTCAACAGCAGGTAACCCAACAGCACACAAATAAATCCATGGCCAGGGATGCTCTGAACAGACAGACTCCAAACACCACCTGCAAAATTCCGAACAACTGACTTCCAACCAGAAAGCCCCAGCCCACACCTACACCGCTCTTACAAGCAGGATGTTTCTATAAGTCATAGCAAGACTTTAGAAAGCCAACGTGCTAAGAGGGTGCCCCACTTGATGACAAGACCAAGATCTCTGAACAAGACCACACCCACTGAATTTGGAAAAGGAATTCACACCAAAATAGACAGCCTCTGAGTACTCTAACTTTAAAATTCCTTTTTTCAGCATGTGTTACAATCTCTCTAGCAACGTTTTTAGCCAACCCTGATCCTTTGAGTTGCTGCACTTGGAGGCCTGTCTGAAAGCAAGAGCAGACAAAGGTCTTTGAACATAAAGAGATCCTTTGGACACGGCAGATGCAGTAGAGCTCCACACCAACACCACACTGTCATCAAACTGATTTCAGAACTGAAAGCTCCCTAGTTATATTCAGAGTTCTGCACCAAAAGCTAATAAATTCCAAGCAGCAGGACTTGTTCACACCAGAAGTTATCATGACTCAACAAATCCACAACCAACTGCATCAACTCAAGCTAAACTGACAAGGCTGAAAATTTTTAATCACATTCCAGAAGATTAGTCTGGTTTTGCAAATTGTGCAAGACTCGCCTACAGCTGTGTCACAAGCCATACTTTGGACTGCACACTCTCAATTTTCTCAGCGTTTCAGGAAGGAAATAAGCCATATTTGGCACCGAGCGCGCTGTGTTAGTACAAGAGGCACAGAGCCAGCAGCACTCTATTCCCTGATGTGCTCCACTGCTTCTCGGCACCCTACTTACAGCTCTTCAGATCGGCCTCCCTTCCTGCATCACCCCATAAGGCAAGTCATCCAGAGAGTAAAAGACACATTATGGCCTCTTACCACCAAACAGCCATAATTTTGCCATGATCATCCAGGAATCTTGCCCAAACAGTGCTGGAAGAGAGAAGTGAAAGAGTAACAACTAGAAATGCATATGGGTGTTAGTGCCAGTAGATACATTAAACAGGATGCTATATGAACGCAAGTAATCAAAGTGCTCAATTTCCAGATTAAAAAAAAAATTAAACTATAAGGTTTATTCTAATTAAGGTCATAAATTTTCTTGTGCATAAGCTCAGCGGGGGGTGGGGTGTAGTTACAGACTGCACAGCAGTGCAAAGGCTTAAAAAAATCCTTTTATACAGAAGATGCTAAGGAACACTTATGGTTATTAAATCTATTGTATTTCTGCAAGAGAAGCCCTCAGCCTAGAAGGCCTAGTCACATTCCAGCAGAGTTTTTTGATCACCTTAGTGTCTAAAAGCATAAGTCTATCCCACTGGAAGAGAAGGAGACCATTTCCCAGCCAAACAGTAAAAGAAATCCAGGCTACAGGAACCTTGTGAAATGTGAAGCTTTTATTTTTTCATATATATATAAACCCCAAATAGAAGGCTTGTAATAAATCTCACCTAAGGAAGTTTCTGGGTTTTATATACCTTCAGTCATTTTCATCCTGATTTTAGAAGTTTTAAATCAGCTAAAGAGAAAAGGTATTTATTCAACTATGTCATTATTAATATTAACAACAACAGTCTGAAGTTTTTTTTCAATTCATGTAACAATAATTAAGACGACAGAACAAAATTATAAATATATTTACAGATACCCAAAAATCCTGTTGAATTCCTTTTGGATAAAAGAAAAATAATATATTATACTGTAATAATTATAATGCAGTATACACGTCAGTTGGAATAATCACGATCTAGTCCATTGCCTTAAGGTCACTTGTACTTTATTAGATTTGTTTAAAAAAAAAAAAAAAACAACCAAACAAACCCAACCAATATACGGACAACTGATTTTATAACTCTGCAAGGAACAAAGGTTTTGCCTATGACAAATCTGAATCTATTTCATCCTTCTTTTGTAGTAGCGGTACCGAGGAATAAGACTGGAACTACTCCACCAACTGCCAAGTTATCTGCAGATATCAAAAGGGTCAAACTCCACTGCAACACACAGCGTTGGGATGGCAACCTCAGATGTGGAAATGGCTATAAAAGATTACAGGGCCAATTCTCATGACTGCCCAAAGCAGACGATGGCTTGAGAAACCAGAGCATGTGTGTACTTGGAAGAAAAAGCCATGTTTCTGGAGCTGTATGCTGTCTTACCAATGTCCATCTATTTTTTTTTTTTTACAGTGGATGCAGTCAATAATGATATTCTCTTTCATTGTGACATTTTGTACAATTGAAAACAATTATTTCACTACTGCCACAATATGTTTCTTCCTCTCTGGCACAAATGGCATAGATCCTGGTTTGCTGTGCTTACGGCGATTCAGTTCCCTAGAAAGAAAAAACAGACAGGTGAAGTTCAGCAGTCAGCACAAAGATTTAACAAATACTAAATTCCTTCTTAAGTTACTAATGAGTTATACTACAATTAAGGAAAAAAATTGCTCTGCTTTTATTAATCAAAAGCCACATACTTCCTCCTTTGAAAACTGTCCCTTTCAAAAATAACTTTAAAAGTGGCTAATTTCGAAAAGTTTCAAACTGAGCCTTTCTTGGAAGCTCCACTTACTTGGCTTTCATGTCAACAGGATCTGCTGCTCAAGTTTGTAGAATCTTTCTAGCTGAGAAAGATGACTAAAACCTACCACTTTTTAGTTTAATGCCTACAGCAAAGCATGCCACCTTCTGCTCCTAGAAATTCCAATATGGCCATGATCCAGGTGATAGAAAACACTCATCTTGGAGTTCCGTATTACAGAAAAAAAAAAAAAGGACAAAACCCCAAAACAAACCCCAAAACACCTCTAACACTGAAATCAGCCCATTCTGTTTCCATTGCAATGTTGCATCATCACATCCTTAATAGAGCATTGTGGATTCTTCCAACATGGTATTTGCTCCTGTTTCCTCAGTGAACTTTTGGGAAGCAGCCAGCCCTCACTGACACTGGCATTTGACTGCATTTTCCTTATAATCAGAGGTTAATCAATCCTGGACTTCATGAGCACTTATTCAGATGTTAAAAGTAGCTCATTGTTGTTCCTCCCACACACGGTAGCTCTATCACTCCCATACGTTGCTGCTACAGCACTGCAGTGATGCATTTTGTTAAGATCAAGAGAAAACAAAGCCAGAAGAGGAAGACAAAGACATACTTTCGCCGACGAGCTTCTCTCATGATACGCTGCTCTTTGATTTGGCAGTATATACTCTTGGGCAAGTGACGGTGCTGAGCGATGCGTCTGATCTTCGGGTGGTACTGGAACTTCTCCTTCAGCTTCTGATTGTAATTCATAGCTGACTTCTCTCGTGGTGCAAGCTACGGGGAAAGCACCACAGACAAGCATGTTATGAAAGAACAGGGATTTAACTGTCACGATTTTCTCTGCAAAACATAATTTTAAATTTTCTTTCAAATGGATTCCTTCTAGCAAACAGCTACAACCACATGAACGTCAGAATTAGGGTAGGTAAGTATTAAAAAGTTACAATTTCAACAACACTCCAGTGCTCCAACACAAAATATTATCATAATTTCAAAGTTCAATTAAGTAACTGAATTTACTCCCTGATAATCAGATTTTAATGTACTGCAGAGAAAAGGGGAATGGAAATAGCTGATAGTAAAACCTCTTTGATCAGAGTCTGCCTGCTTTCCTAACCTCTGATGATGATAAACTTGCTGTGAAATAAAGATTTGCAGGCATTTTAATCACTAGCCAATGTAAGTAAAATGCTATAAATGAATTGTCTTCATTAACAGCTTTACAGACAGCTCTTTAGGTGGCATAAATCTCACCCATCGCCTTGATCCATTAGGAAGCACAGTGCATATATCAGATTTCAAGTATTAGCTTGACTATATGGCACACAGGGAGTTCCAACTTTCATCACGCAGCTAAAAATATCTTAGTATCAAACACATAAAATACAGGTAATCTACTATTACCACAAAAGACTTTAATTTTATCCATGTTTAAAAATCACATCTGAGCCACTATCAGCAGCACTAAAAGCAAGAAATGCCTTTTCTTGACAGCTACCTACAGAGGATATTTTTTTTTTTCCAACTAGGCATGTTTCCTTTGGTCCTAATACTTATTTATTGAAAGGGGGGAAAAAAAATAATCTGTGTGTGCTGTATTTTTGTTAAAAGCATGTATTGCTTCGCAAGGAATATCAGTCTCTATGTATTTTGGATTTGCTTGGACCTCTGGGAATTTCAGCTGCCTTTCAGTCTAGTGAGCTTTCACATAAACAGAAAATCTGTCAATATTAAATATTAACAGAGGATAATCCTATCGTCTTCTTCCTACCCTCCTGTCCAAAATACACTCTAACTCCAGTATTTCAGACATGTTAAAACCCTTTGTATTTTCAAACAAGTCTTTTGCCCACACACATTTATTTCATCCACTATACCTGCACCTAAAGTATTAAAAGCAAAACAATAGCTCAGACAACTTTATTTCTTACTTTCTCAAGAAAAAACAGAACCTGACTCTCAGACACTAACAAAAAAAGTAGCAGTAACAAAACCAACAACTTTATTACACACAGAAAAACTTGGAAATTCTACCTACATAATTATCAAACATGCTTTTCCCCAACTTTGAAATCAGCAATTGGCTATTTTCCACTCTGGATGTCACTTTTAGAAGTGACTTCTGTTAGAATATTTCATGAATTCTGAAAAACTAAATATCATACTCAGATAACTTTGGTCAGAAGTATCATTAATGGTCTGAAAGCAAGTATTAATAAAACATATGGCAAAGGAGTTTCTCCTTTGGGACAATAAAGAAACCAGGTACCAGATGCAGAGTTGTTCATCGCTCAGAAAGTTCTTATTCAGGCATCAGAGATACAGAATGCTCTTAACCTTTGTTTCTCCGCACCTTCTTATTCATAAAAAACAAATCCTTCTGCTTTACTTACATTTATCTCAAATTGCAAGTGAGCAAATTTTACAGTCTTTACCCACTAAAACTTTTCCCTCCCCCACCCTTTACTGAAATTCCTTCTAGCAAGACAGCCTGAGTAGCTGGTTCACTCTTAATAAATCCCAGGTGTTCCCACCCTGCAGAAAACTGCCAACATAATCCAAATTAAAGAGGTTTTATTTTAATTAAATGCAATGATTTTCCTTTAATTTAAGAAGAGCAAATTGCTGCCGATTTCGTACAACCTTGATGATTCTACAGACAAGAGGTGAAGCTGTAAATTAAAGATACATCCAGGATATCCTATTTAAAAAATTAATATAGTTTAAGAGGTGGTTATGCTCAAGTCTGATTACATTTTTTGGTGTAATGTGGTGTATAGAAAAGCATGAAGCTGGTGACTTTCCATCCAACTACGGAATGCCAGCGCCCCACATACCAGGCTGCGCTAAGTGCACCCTCATCTACATGATGGTAAAAGAAAATCTTGCAGTAATGACAAATTTCTGCCTATTTATGAGAGACAGCAGGTAGCAAAGAAAGCAGACTGCAATAATGCACTGAATTCCAACCTCTCTCTTGCAAGTCATTTTACAAAGGTCAACGTAAAGAGCTGAAGAGAACAGCAGTACTTCCCATTCTGCTTTGAGCTGGAGAAGGTGCTGTGAACACAGCACCATTTAGCAGGATTAGAGATTTTGCTTATAGGGACCAGAACACTCTACAATATAATAAATTAGGATTTATATGACATCATGAGTGGAAAATATGCTCAAAGATGATGTATGGCTCTTATCATACATCTCAAAAGTGAATGTGCAACTTTCTTCCTTTATCACAGAAATGGAAGTCATGTGGCAGAAAGACAGTGATTTGTGCTATTATCACAGCAATACTTCACAGCAAATATCTAGAGTGAAAAAGGGGGGAAAAAGAACTCTAAAATGCAACCAACTTGTCACCAGTAGGAAAATGTGTCCTCAAGTAAACTGCCTATGACTCCCTCCTCCCTCCAGATGATAGAGGCTGGTTATTTTTTCCCCATCTATGCAGAAGGAAGGTAAGCATTTTTCCAGAGCCCTGATTGAAGGGCTAAAACCACCTTTACCAAAAAGTTCTCCTTTTAAGAAGAGCTGTATTCGTACTGTACAGTATTTAAAACTCCACACTGTTAGACTCTTGTAATTCAGCATGAGTCTAAGAAATGGCTGTTTATCTATCCTGCCCAGCTTGCCCTTCTAGGTTAGGGCAGACAGAGCACAAATGCAACATATTTTTAGAATGCGAACGTATCCCAGCAGTTTTCTACACCATAGCTTGTCTTTATTTCCTTTCCCCCCCCATTGCTTTGCTGAAAACACATTTCTAAATTTATTGCCATAAAGTTTATTACTCATTGTTTCCTTGGACCAAAAACTTACAGCTTCTTTACATCTAAATGGATGACAAAAAAAAAAGAAAGGTAACGCAGATGTTAAGAGCACAAAATCATAGCTAAAGGGATGAAGTTGTATGTGCACTGAATCACAAACCCAAAATCACTATGAAAAGAATGCCATGTCACACAATATCTGGTACTGCTTGTTATCAGCCTTATCTCACAAAATGGAACCGTACACTAGAAGCAGACTGAAAGGCCATACAATTACTTAGACAGTTTTGATACACTCCTGCTAATGCACTTTGCTAGATCAAAACCATGAGTTGTAACTGCACTTTCTCCTTTTTCAGTCCTCACTCAAAAGCTGCTATTTCTGCATCTTGAAAGAAAGCAGCAAACCTACGCTCCACTGTTTTGCTCACTCCTGACACCAGTTTTACACTTACTGAAATATAAATCATTCCCAAGCAGAAAGTTCCCTTCAGTTGTCCAGTGCTCTGTTCTAATGCTTCTTTGGAAGTGAAACAGAACCAAATTTTGCAGCTGTTACTCACAGAAGTGATGTTACTACTAAACATTTACACTCTAAGAACTGCAGGTGTAGATTTATTTTTTTTTTAAACACGTCAATAGATTGAAGAACAATACAGCTTTTCGAACTTTTACTAATGGCCCATTGCTTTCACTACAATTAAAAAAACCCTGATCTCTCACTTTCTTTGTATTGATTAGATTAATTCCACTCTATTACTGCTGCTTTTCCAGTCTTTTCATTCAGATGAGGCTCTATTTTTCCTCTTTTCCTCAGAAGCCAAAGTCATTTACCTATTTTAAAGCGACTTCTGCTGTGGCTCGGACAGTGAGATTTGGGGTTTGTTACCCCTGTGTAAAACCCATGCAGACTTGTCAGTGGAATGGAAACACAGCATGCCTCTGGCTCCTCCAGAGACTTTTATTGTTACTTTAATGTTTCACTGATTTTGAATAATGAGTACGATGCCAAATACATTAAAAACCAAAAGAAACATGCATGTCAGAACTGATGAGTGCTAGGGCAGCCAAGATTCAGAAAGTACAACTTTCCAACTGCATAAATGTTCATCAGTCACAACATAAGCACTATATATTCAGTATAACTTCCGGGGAACCCAGCAACACCAAAACCAAGACTAAGTACTCACCGAAGGAAAAAAAAAAATAACATGTTTGATTGCGATTTTTTTATCCATCCCCACCCCAAAAATATCCCTCTTAAAATACAAAGTATTACAAGATGTTAGCGTTATATCAGAAATACAGTGACCTTTGGATGAGTCATTCAATCAAATCTTCTCAGCAAAGAAAAATAGCAGACCAAGCAACTAAGCATTTAAGACACATTTTGACACTTCCGACAGAATTACAGGATGTTCAGCTTTGAATATTCAGAATGTTCAAAAAATAGCCCCAGACTATGGAAGAACTGGACATTTATAAAATGAGCAAGCATATGTCTATGAAGATAAGAACACCAATCCTCTAAAAAAAGATGCACCAGGTACTAAAGAAAAACAGTGGAAACCAGATAAACAGCCATTAACGGTTGCAGTGTTAAGAATCACAGGAATTACCAGGTTGGACCAAACAAGCACTGACAGTTGCCTGAATCCAAGCAACATTTTCAAGATATATACAAGAACAAGATAAGCCATAAAACTTCCATTTTCAAGTCCTATTAGCAACAACTACTCTTGAAACATTTGAAAAGTAAAATTTCATAGTAATTCTGAAAAAAAAATTAACACCACTATAGCAGCTTCAGTTACTAATTTAATATCTAGATTGTGTCTTGCTAAATTCAAGGCTTCAACAGCATAACGCTTGAACACATTTCCACACAAGATATGAGGATGTGAAGCATTACCTCTTCTTATTATAAAAGAATTCTTTACAAGTTCATTAGCATCATCTATGTGAAATGAGAGCAGTTTTTCTACATAATTGTCTATGTCCCTTGTTAAGTTCTTCCTGTATTTCTAAATAATTTTGCTTTCTTAAGATATCTTTTGATGTTGCAAGGTGGTTTTTTGAAGATAGGATGATGAGTTTTGTATTCTAAATGATGGGATGATTTCTGACAGTAAAAAAATAAACACACAAATCCAACAAAACCCAACAAACAAACAAAAAAATTCAAACAAAAACCCCCGTGCCACTTGACCTGTGCTATAGATAGCTATTGACTTAGTTCTCTTGAGAGCCAATCGCCAAAGAGCTTTGACAGAAATGCTTACAAACCCATACACGTATGCATGCGACAAAAGCTGCATTTGTATGATCCCACAACAGAACTGAATTGTATGCATAGTCTCCAAGAGGCATGTGAAGCAGCAATAACATTTACAAACAGGGAAAAAAAAAGAGGCAGGTTATTTTATGTAGGATTCACTGTCAGGTCAAGGAAGACAAGACTAATAATGTCCAATACCCAATAGTCATAATCGGTAGCACTTTTTTAGGCCCATCCATGGCCAGTTTTCAGGGATGCAAATAGTACAGAAAACAGCAGAATGTCATTTACTACTCCACATTTTGAGTACTTCAACAATATCTAAGTTGTCCTTCTGGTACACAGTATTTCTACAATGCAGGAGTAGTTGGGTTCGCCCATTACTTCCCAGAGCCAAGTATCTTTCATAAGAAAAAGAGCCAATGACATCTAGTAGCCAATAGAGTGAATTTGCTGTTCACACCTGAAAATACCAGGAATCATTCTATATGAAAATAATATTTTCCACATTCTTTTTACCCACTTGTCCTTCAGCCATAGGGCAAAGGGTAAAGATGCAAGTCAAAAATACCAGACAATTCTGTAACAGAACATCTTAGAGAGAGCCAGCATGCTCTCTCACTAAGGATACAGTAAAGACAGAAAATTTCAGTTAATACTGTAGAACTAGGTAAAAAGGGCATTGCCATGAACATATGGATATGACATGAAGAAAACAGGCATTATTTCTGCCCAACACCGCACCGTCTAAAATTCAACAAAAAAGTTAAATCAAAAAGTCTATAATGAGCTTTGCAGCATCCTTGGAACGAGCAAGTATGGGATGGATATTTAAATGCTTGACTGAAGCCCTACATGGGAAAATACCAATAATCAGTTCAGAACAGAAAAAAAAATATCAAAAAAAGCATCCTCAACAGAAGAGTTATCCATTAAAGAAATTAAATTTAAATACTACTTTGCAAACACAAGTATTGTGCAGGATACAAAGCTGTTTTGTTGTTTCGGGGGTTTTTTTTTGTTTTTTTTTTTTTGGTTGGTGTTTTGGTTTTTTTAAAATCTATTGCTCTATAGCAAAGATGAGAAAATTAATAAGACTTCCAAATACCTATGGTAGACCATAGCCAATGCTATCCATGTCGTTTTAGCTGTGCTACTCCACACCCAGTGCAAACAGTCCATGAATTATCCCATCCCGCATCATAGCCCTACGCACTCCTGCTACTCCCATTCACCTCCACCTCTCCAGCTCTGCTCCACTTCCCTCCTACTAAGGTACTATCACTTGATGGAGCTTCAGGTCATCACAAGCAGCCCTAGGCATGACTATGCAATAAATTCATCCCTTTAACTGTATAACATTCTTCCCTGAATTACAGCTTCCCTCTCCTCCCCCCTCAATCTTCCACAAGATAAAGCAGAAATTCCCACAAGCAGTGTTTGACAGCTGTGCTGATGGGCTCAGAAAAAGCAATGTAAGCACCTCCAAAATACCCTAACAATATAAATCTACATAAAGGGATTCCTCCCAGCTGACAAAGTATCAAATTCATTCTCCAAAGTCATTCATACTTTAACACAATAGATGAATATATGCAAGGGGTAAGTGTAACAATGTTTTGGCCTTGTCTATAATGTAAAGGTTTGAACAAGTGTAAGGGAACAGACACGTTATCTAATTAGACTGATGTCTGCTCCTGCTAGGAAGACTTCAGCCAAACTGACTTACATTGAATTAAATAGACTTCAGACACCACACTAGTTTGCCCACTTGGTACCAGAGAACTACATAGGTTAATGGCAAACTCAGTTATGCATCAGTGCAAATGGTCTATTTTACAATACAAACGCTTATCAGAGTATGAACTGTACATGAACCAGTCACATTCCAGCCAAAGTTTTTAAACGTGGTAGCCCTAAGCTTCAGTAGAATGACTGATGCACAGCAAACCAGAACTTACTGCTTCTTCTCTAGTGCAAAGGGATGAATTCTCACCTGTAGCACCCAAGTAAAAAACTCGAATCTATTTAGAACTGATGATTATTGTTAACATTAAACAAGGACAAAAAAAAAACCCCTCACCTCAGCTAGGCAATTCTATGATTCTGTAGCAATGACAAGGCATGAAATTATTTTTATCATAAGTTGTAGTAAATGCAATGAACTATACTGTGCATGTCAGTTTTCAAATTAAATAAAAACTACCGTTTTCTCTTTTCCCCTTTAGAAACAAGGTTTTAGAAGCTGAACAGACTGATCAGTTGTAGTAACAAAAAAGCCTCAAACATCTTGTCCCATGATAACAAAAAGCAAAATGCAACTCTTACCACGCCCAGTTTTTCAGAAGCATTAGCTTTCCACAGACGAATATTCATCTCATCTGAGCCACACAGAATGTATTTGTTATCTGAAGTCCATTTGACAGTGATGACGTGCTGCATTCGCTTTGTGTGATACACCTCCCTAAAGCAAAGAAAAACATTTTAAAATGATCTATCATCACTTTTCCCGTCAACATCACCTTTTAAATAGCAGAAAGCATTCTGTTCAATGCAAAATCTATTTCTTTCTTTTGTGGGCTTTTTTTTTTAAAATCTGACTTTTTTTTTAAACACTGTGCTGATGTTAAATCCAGAGAGAGATATTCAAATAAAGTATGATAGCAAGACTGACAAAGGAACACCTAGGATAAAATGCTTTTAAAACAAATGTTTTCATAGAAGTCACAGTAAATAGCTAAAGCATAACTCCTTCTGCAAAACATGCCATGGATGTACAATATGATATGCATCATATGCACAATATAATGTGCATACCAATCCCAAAATAATTGAAAATAATATGCACTGATCAGGCATTATAGAATGGGACTGCAGAATGGGTGCCAAAGAATCTGACAGCACCGTTATGAACAAGAAAGAAAACAGTGAATAAACACCTCCAACTGCCCATTTATGAAATGGCAATGGACTGGCTATTCTTCATTGTGATTTCCCTCCTTTCCCCAAAAATGGACTACCTTATCATTGTCTAAAGGAATCGTAGGAAAAATTTTGTAACCCTGAAAACTCAAAGTCTCCAGTCCTGCAAATAAAAACTCAACAAGAAATATCAGCTAGTATGTGAGGATCCAGAACAGCAGTGTGGCTAGTAAAGCATAAATTACATTTAATTTCTGCCAAATAGGCTCCTGCTCAACAAGTACTGTCACTTGTTGACAAATGTTTCTTGATGTTACATTTAAACCAATATTTAAAGGAAACTCATCTAATTTTCATTAGGTATGTATCAAACAAGCAGAGCAGTATTATTCATAAAGTTATTCTTTTATTTCTGCTATAAAAATATAGGACTAAGTACACTTGTTGGTAATTCTAATTATTTATTAGCATTCTAAAGACGAAGAATAAGTAAGGCCTACTTACTGTCCACCAATACCACTGCAGCTTATAGACCGTTCTCTTTCTTTTACCTAGTTATTTGTACAAGTAAAATCTGAGTAGTAATGGAAAGGAAATGTGGAAACACCACCTATTCAAGAGCTGTGGAAAAACTAGACTGGGGTTGAGCTTGAGGGGTTGTGAGAAAAACAACAGTAATCAATATACTACCTTAAATAAGCTTTAATAAGCTTAACCACCTCTTGTAATTCACAGTTAAGTGATGCTCTACAAGAACCGTGTGGAAGAGTGAGCACGAGTACTTTCAGAAAACATTAATACTCACATCAGCATTTTACTGATCTTGCTGTTTAACAGCATGTGTGCACAGACACACTTCCAAAAGCGTTCCTATGTTTACTTTTATTTCACTATTTGCCTCAATAACAAAGCTTTTCTTCACCCACCTTTGGGGAACAAACTACTTTTCCTCTCCTTGCTCTGAATTTTCAGCCTTTGCCTCTCCTGTTGTTGCCATCACAAGTTATTAAATCTCATTCTCACGGAAAGAAAAACACAAAGCATGGCCAAATAACCAGGATCTGTCATTTTAAAAGTTCACACAGACATCCAGTTCCATTTACCAAGAATTTACTAAATTCAATCAACTTCATAATAAATCTTATTTCTTATGGCTAATCAATTTTCTAATTTGAATTTTCATTTTAAAATACAATAGAAAGCAATGGAAGTTAGGAGTTTTTCGGATTGGCAGAAGATCAAAAGTCAAAACTGGAGTACTGTCAGGATCCTTGTTTACAGATAATCTTAACTGCCTCCTCTCTTTCCAAGTGGGCTCAGATCTTCCATTTAAAGACTTTTCATGGGATTAATTTCAACCGTGTAACTCTGAAAAAGCCCAGCTTCTAATGAATTTCAAGTGTCCCAGTCAGCTTATATGAGGCTAAGTTCTTCACCTGTAAGGCACTTCCTTACTGCATTTATGGCCATCACACAGAAAGGGGAAAAAAAGGGGGCATGGGGGGTGCAGATAAAGAGGGTAATTCCTTCCACAGATTTTGGCAACAAACTGCTATAATGTGGAAAATCTGTAGAACTCAAGAACTGCTTAAGAATTATAAAAAAAAAAAAACCCAAACCAAAATAAACCAACCCACAAAGGAACTGTAATACTTAATTACATTTAAAATATTATTGCAAGACAAGAAGAAAATAAAAACTACTCGTAGATTAGTTATAAAGAAAAATGTAAACACACAGACCCTGTCAATCTTTAATGCAGTATAGGAGCATACAAACAGTCACACTGAATAATGCATACATAACTGCATCAATCAATAACAAAAACACACTCCTCTTATCAATATTTCAACATCACCACCACCTAAACCACCTAGAACTTGACCTAGTAGCAACTTTTTGAGAAGCCAAGTTTGCAGAAAGGAAGGCAACTAGAAGTAAAACAAAGTTAAGAATAAAGAAAAAAGCAGAAGAACTGACAGCAGAGAATAACAAAGGTAGGTTTATGAAGAACAAATGATACCAGACAGATCTGATAACTTCTTCAATTTTCACCAAATTGAAAAAAAAATAAAATAGTAACAATGGAGACACAGTAGATCAAATCTGAACCTCAGCAAAATATTTAATACAGTGCCTTATGAAATCTTACATGAAAAACTAATTCAAAGTGAATTGTATTCAAAGCATTGTCACATGAATCAAAACCTGGTTAACAAAGTATAAACAAAAGGCAATAAGCAGACTGAAACAGATCACAGAAGTGTCCTAAACTGATCCTCAGGAATTAATACAACAATGAATTGTCTTTAGCAATCATCTATAGAGGACAAAGACAGTCCTTAGATAACCAAATGCTACAATGTTGTAAGGCACTGCAAACTTAAGTGGTGACAGATACAGTACAATGTAACCTAAAAACATTTACGACATATAAAGAGGGAAATAAGATGGGACTCATCTTGGTAAAATACAGATGAGTATGCCCAAGAACAATAATCCACTGTAATTTTAATCCAAAACTGTTTAAGTATTGCTATTTCTTAAGCAGTTCTACTCTAATGCATACTCCAGAATTATCTGTCAACCTCGAGTCATATACAGAATAAGATTTCAATATTCACAGGAAGTGAATGCCCCAATGAAGGCGTTAATGAATTAAGAACTTTGAGGGAGGTAACAGGAATGAATGAGAGCAAGAGAGAAAGGTGTAAAAATCACTCACCTGCTGTGACCTTTGTCTACAGGAAAGATGCGGACAGACTTATCAAAGCTGGCAGAGACAAATTCTTTCCCAGTGGGTGAATAATCCACATCAAGAACAGCAGACACGTGATCCATATGCACCATCACAGGTGATTCAAGGAAGCGCATATCAAAAGTATATAAGCTTTAAAATAAATACACCAACAGCTTTAATATCTTAACAGCTCCTAAGTAAATAGTACATTTTTTCCTGAACAGATACTTTAATCAAACAAAAGACACTTAAGGAGAGATTCATACTGTGGAGGGAACTCTTTAAAACTGCTCATAACACATGAAAAGAAAGAATGATGCATTGTTTAGGGCTTGAAAAAGGTTTATTAATCAGAGGCTTTAGTTATTAGATCAATCCTAGATATCTTGCTCACAGTCAAAGAACAGATGGTCTCCATTATTCCCTTCATGTCTTCATGGGTCACTGACCAAACCCATTTCTCCAATCACCACACTGTCCTCCCTTATTCCATCTTCAACTATAAGTATACAACCCGAACTTGGGCAAGCAGCTCTGAATCATTATGACAAGCCTATCAACTCTCCAAGGTTTCTAGATATTCCCATATTGGGAACTCCTAGCTCCCATTTGGTTGGCACCCTCTCCTACCGCCTGCCTGTCTTTAAGCCAGACATAGAAAGGAAAGCTTGGTCCTTCACTACATGGAGCTATTAGTTCAGCAGAGCACACTATCTGCAGAAACACATTACATTAAAAATAAACACACAGCTTGTGGACCACAGCTGGTTTGCTCTTAAGCACTTCAAAGCTCGGGTGAGGTCTACCTTGCTTGAATCAGCAAGCCCATCGACACACAGCAAGGCATAATGACTGAGCAGATCATTAATTTGCCTAGGGCCAATAAGCAAAGTGCTTTACAGACAAAGATTTAATGAAACCTGCTTAAGATATACAATTCATTAGAACTACTATATGAAAAGCTTGTGATTTAGCAGGTTTCTCACCGTCGTTTCTGTGGATGAATACATAAGTAGAATTAATTCTATGTCTCTTATTCAATAGTTTACTGGCAACTATTGCTTTTTCCTTCTGAATTCCCCAAGAAAAAAAGTACACAAGCATCAGATTCAAAACCACTACTCCATATAATCAGGTAACACTTGCATATGTGTTGCTGATACATCTATTTGCCATTGCACTTACATGAACTGTAATAATTTGCAAGAGGCCAGTTGCCCCTGACAGTAACAGCTACCATTTTCAGTTTAGCGGGGCAAAGGGGAAAGATTTATAAACAAACAGATTAGATACCCTGTTAGCCTTAGCACACCATAACCAAAATAAGCGAAAAGCAGGACATCAAATACAACACCCACTGTCAAGGTCTGAGCCAGATCTCATTTCCTTGGAAAAACAGCCTTAAGTGATAAAATTCTTATGTTCTAGAAGAAAACAGTGATCTATTGTTAGATCACTGACTTCCTGGAAAAAAGGATGCGAAGCACATTTTGCAGTGGCCTAGTTTTGAAGAGAGAGATTTTCCAATATCAGATTAGCTGTTCGCATGAACTGTATTGTTCAAAAGTGAAAAAAACTACTCTGAGACACTGAAAGGATATTGCAGTCTCTGGAACCATTTCACAAAAGACTAGTTTAGTTGTTTTTTTTCTTTTTTTAAGAAAGGGTTTCATTAAAATAGTTTATCAGTACAATATATCAAGCTTCACAAGAGCTGGCAGGAAAATAAACACTTATATTGCCTCAGACTAGATCAATAGTATTTATTTTCCAGGTGTCATTGCAAGATACACTTGCATGGGTTCAGCTGCATTTTTGGTAAATAACACCATTTTTTTTTTCCCTGGGTACTGAAATTTACAGAAAGAGGCAGTCTACTATCAATTTTTTAATCTTTTTTTTTTTAAAATCAGTGAGCCTATAATTATCTAGTTATTACTTAAATGACTCAAATTTAGAATTCAGGTAGGTTTTAAAAAAAATGTATTTTAGCATGATGATAAATCACTAAAATACAAATTAAAAACGTAGCATGATCAGGATTATCAAAAAGCAAGGTCACACTTACTTGTAATCTTCATTTGCTGCAGTAAAAATGAAAGCTTCCATGGGGTTCCAACATATTGTGTTTGTCCTCATATTCAAGATAACCTGAAAGATATTTACACATCGCTACCCTGTTATAGGCAGTAAAATATTCGTTATATTCAAAGCTTCCTATATCACTTGAGACAAGCACTTTCTAGATACAGAATTATGGCAGAGGAATATAGACACGACAGAATGTTTCCTTCTGAGTGTTAGAACTGGGACTCAAGACTCCCTGTCCCTCATCATACGCTCACTGCTTTGTGCTATGCTGCATCCAGCTCTGCAACGCCCAACACAAGAACATGGACCTGTTGGAGCAGGTCCAGAGGAGGGCCATGAAGATGATCAGGGGGCTGGAGCACCTCTGCTACAAGGACAGGCTGAGAGAGCTGGGGTTGTTCAGCCTGGAGAAGAGAAGGTTCTGGGGACACCTTATAGCAGCCTTCCAGCACCAAAAGGGGGCCCCCACAGGAAAGATGGGGATGGACTCTTATAAGAGAGTGTAGGGATAGGATGAGTGGTTTTAAACTGAAAAAGGGGAGACTTAGATTAGATATTAGGAAGAAATTCTTTACTGCGAGGGTGGTGAGACACTGGAACAGGTTGCCCAGAGGAGTCGTGTGTGCCCCATCCCTGGAAGTGTTCAAGACTGGATGGGGCTTTGAGCAATATGGTCAAGTGGAAGGTATCCCTGCCCATGGCAGGGGGGTTGGGACTAGTTGATCTTTAAGGTCCCTTCCAATCCAAACCATTCCATGATTCTATGAATTAAAATTTTCCTCTGTAAGTCATCTTAGAAGCAAATTCTTCTCAAGTGGTCATTTAACATGTAAACATGTTAGCAGTGAACATGTAAACCAGAAACTTCTGAAAAATTTCACTTCACCATATTTACAGGAACCTTTAGTTAAGTAATCTATAAACATGCCTAATTAAATGGTTATTTCAAAGGATATAGTCATTAATTGATGCTGTGAGCCAGCATTTGTAAAGCTATTATAACATTTTGATATTCTCCCCAATTATTACCAACCCTTCATTATTTTATCTCTGAAACTGCAGCAGGACAGCTGCCCTTTCTTGTTGAAGCACTAAGCAATGTGTGTAGAAGTTACTGCGTTGTAATCTACTCACACCATCACTGTATTAGCAGTGAGTCATTTGCTACACATCCATAAGATTTGTGTGCTGCTAGTAAGCAGATGGCTACAAAGGGGCCAGCTTGCCTTCAAAGGGGAGGAAGGCAGCCGATGACAGCCTCGTCAGACCCTTCTTTACTACCAGTGGATTAGACATGAAGTATTAAGAATCTGGGTGTTGGATGCCCCCACCTCAGAGGACAGCTGTGGTTGGGCTGGCCCTGTAGAAGGGGAGGCAGGGAGGAGGTCATCAGACACCTCATATGACACCACAGCTTTGGTTCCTGCAGAGTCTTAGAGGAGCTTTCAACTATTGTGTTTGAAAATAAATCCCATACAGTACGCCTGACATGAAGCAGATGCATAATTACAGAGGACCTTATTAACAAACTGAACAACTCTAAACAGGATTTTCCACAATGCTCCAAGACCAGCCATAATCCTACTTGAAAATCCTGAAGTTTGGGTGTTTAACGCCATGGTACTCCAAACTCATTTTTGTTCTCAGTTTACTATACCAAACACCATAAATTTACATATGTATTCCAAAATGTAATTGTACAATTATAACTTTTACAATAATGAACACAATCTCAAAGCAAGTTAAGTTATGACCTCTACTGAACTGCCTGCCCCCCAAAAAGATCATTATTTTATGATTATGTGCACATTCTCATTCTCCTTAAGTCCTCATTTCCCAGGTGACATTACCCTGCTCAATAGGAAGTCTGTGCTGCAAAATACTGCTAATTACCAGAAACTACATGCATCCAGAACTGAATGTTATCATCAGATGCCTAAAGTGATCTCTGCTTTAAAAAGCGACTTTTCTGAAAGGATAGGCCACTGAAAGGCCCCATTACCTACATTTACAGTAATGTGACAACTGAAATCTGAAAAAATTCTAGTACTGTTCTTTATAAATTTTTTTTTTTTTTTTTTAGTTATAAACCCTGCACATATCTGGGAAGCTAATACTCAAGAAGTGTTCTTTATTCTTCCCTGTCCAAGTTTTTCAGCTGCTGCAAAATGGATACACAATTAATGTTAAAATACGTGTTAAGTCATGCCACAAAATAACTCTGATATTGCTGAAAAATCCAGCTCTTCTTCAAAAGGGGTCAGGTTTGGTTAAAGTCCATGCTGCACATGTTGCTCCACTATTTTTTCATCCAAATTTGCAAGCATTCAGTTTATTTCAGCAGTGGCCTTTGGCATTAGAATGGGACCTAAGGAAAGGATTCTCTGAACAGTTCTAGCATTATATTCAGTAACAACTACGTAAGGCAACCTGGGCTGGAAGCGATTTAAGCTGCTGTAAATATGTTAATAACAGCATTTCAGACCTATCTAAAGCTGTAGCAAAATTTTATTTTAGTTATTTTGACACTATTTTTTAATCAACTGTAGATACACTTTGGCATTTCATAAGAAAAAGTCCTTATTAAGACCAGCTAAAGTTGTGAAGCCCTGAAGACTTGGCTATCTTGGTTTATTTATTTTAACTGTGAGCACTTGCTTACAAAAAGCATCAGCCCAGAGATTTTGAGGTTAATTATTTGTGTGATCCAGTTTTGTGTTAAAAGTGATCTGTCCTCCTTTACTACCTATCAAAGAATGTTAAAAGCAACAGAAAACGCAGTCCCTTTCAGCAGTTTAAATGCTAAAGTCTATGTTTAAAAAACCCTAAACTTTCCTAATCCCACAGGTTGCACAAGAACAAATTGCAAAGGTACCAACTTCTATTGAATCGCCTTCCTCTTGTCATGCAAAAGGAGTGTTTCCCTTCACCTTTTCCCAGCTTTTTTAGACTAGTTCTTATTTTGCACTTAGGCAGCATCTCACCATCTCATCCATTCCTCTTTGAAACTGCAAAACTCACAGACAGGACAAATGAGCAAGACAGCTACTGCCTCACGATGCGTACAGAAGTTGAACTCCTATTTCCCACTGAGTGGGAAGGGACTCCCACTGAGCTCCAAACTCAGGGCAGCGTGTGAGCTGCTTTGCTGATCAAACACCAGGGACACAGCCGTGCTAGGAGCCAGCACCCATGCAGAGGCACGGTGCCTCTCATAAGCAGCACCCTTCTCTTGGGAGTTACAGAGCTCTTAGCTCTCAGTGCAGAAAGGGACATTCAACCTGCCTCTCCGCAGCAGAATCAACCCTACCCCAGCAGGAAACCCAGCACTACATCGAAAGATGTAAGGAAGTATTCATCAGTATTTTACTCCTATAGCAGGAAAGGAACATAAGCACACTGCTTACTACACAAGATACACATATATATAAGCACATGTAGGTATACTTTTATATATTTAGCATATATACATATGTAAAATCCTATTAGATTCAAACTTAGCTCGCAAAGGCTCAAACCACATCCTTTTAACTTGCAACTACAGATCTACAGCACTGGCTGTGTTCATTTTGACATTCAGGTCTCCAACCAGCATCACTGGCAATTTTTGTAAGCACTGTCTCAGTGGCCCAAATGAAACATCACTAAAAATTGTTGGGGCATAGGGAGAGAAAGAAATACTGCTAAGTAAGTAAAGTACCATTATAGTGTTCTAGTGTGTATCACACTAGTGTCATTGCAGACAGTATCTAACATACCAGAAGGACACTAAGTGTATACTCACAAGTCAGAATATCACACTTCAAGAAGAAAATTTTTAAAATAGTTCTGGAGCTCAAAAATACTGAACTTGAGGTTAATATGCGTGTATGAATTACTGGCTTCTTGTTTTAAGTAAATACATACATTCCCTTAAAATAAATAGGAATCTTCACATCATTGGTAAATTCCACCTATAAATAAAATTTTTATTCCATGCAAAGGATTTCTGAATGGTTACACTAGGTGCATGGCAGGGAGTTATCTCCACCTGAAAGAAAAACACCTTTTCAAATGCAGAGCAAGGCTCTCCAATGGTGGAAAGGAAATGCCTTAGAAGTTACCTTGTTTGCTTCTGGCACGGAGGAGAAAAAAAAAAGTTATATAAAAAACCCCACACATACGCAGACAGAATACAATCTAGGAACATAAAGTTCTTATTGTGAAATTGCTGTCAGGTCAGGCACTTTATCAAAAATTACAACAGAGTAAGCATGACAGCTCTCCTGAATGCAGAAAAGGGCCCTTCTAACTCTGCATGGTTTAAATCCCAACATTAATTCAAACTCAGTTAAAAGACTCAAAATTAGACGATGAAAACTCAGTGAACTCACAGTTCAGAGCCTCCCTTTATCATCATGAACAGACTATTTACATGTTCATATAATTCTTAGTGCCATTAGCTTCTACCAAAAAGAAAAACATTACCTTCTTTAATGGAGTTGATTTTCTCATATCATATAACACAATATTTCTGTCCGAAGCACAGCTTCCCAAAAGGTACGTCTGAAAAAAAAAAACAAAAACCAAGCCACAGAAAATCAGTGTGTAGGGTGTTCTAAACACTCCTAGAACATAGCTTAGGTATCTAATGTAAGCTGTTAGCCATTTCACAATGCTGGTAGTCAAATAGTTCATTTTTCAGTCAAGGAAATACATTGTTCTTTCTGTGCAGCTAATTATTCAGCACAAACATTTTAAATAGCTTCCCCTGTAAAACCGTGAATCCACCTAGACCTCCCTACTTCAAAAGTAACAAGCAATTTCAGAAGTAACAAGCAATTTCCTTATAAACACTTCATTGACGAGCACAGTCCAGCCAAGAAGCATATAGGAACTCCTGTAGAAGATCAGATGCAATTGCTTTGCCACTGAGAGGGGGAGAAGTTTTGGTCACGGGGGTACAGTACTGGAACAGATGAGAGCTCCACAGCCACATAACCACTACATGGTATGCCTGAGATTTGGGATTTGTATTGCTGTGGGCAGGACAGAGACCATCCCACTTTTCTTTCTCCTCTCCCCCATTGTCAGAGACAAAAGATGACAATATATGGTACTACATACAGCAATACAGCCATTAAAAAAAAATAAATGTATACACCTCCTTAAAGGTTAATACATATGTCAAAAACTAAATTTGGAAAAAGCCATTGAAGATCGCACTAGTAGAGTTTAGATCTTATATTGGAAAACTATTTTTCTTGATCAGTATATAACAGAAACATTACCTCAACAGGATTAAATTTTACGCTGCTTATGCTATCAAAACCCCATGTCAAAGAACACATGGGACTAGTCCTTTGCTCATCCCAAATGTCCACTTGATGGCCACAGGTGGCAAAAACAGCATCCTTCCAGTGGTGATCAATTCCTGTATACACTGTCTTTAAAAGAAAACACAACATCAACAAAAAAGATAATTTACAAAACCAATTGTATAAATAAATATGCAACTATGTCCTGTTACAGAAAAGATCAACACATCACTGCATATCAGGTCTCCCATGTTTATATTCATTTATATTACTGAAAACCAAGTCACCACTGCTACCAGAAACTAAGTCTTATCAGATGTACCCTTAACACAATAGACTAGCTTTCTGTGTACTCACTTAATGAGCACGCATGCCCTTCTTGTTAATTTCCAATGCAGTCAGCATTAGAAGCTCATTCACAAGGTCCTGGTTGACTTTTAAGCAATGGCAGTTTTAAGGGTACAACTACAAATTTTCAGTGGGAACCTGAACAGATTCCATAGACAATGCAATAATTAAGGAGTTTTGAACTATCTATTTACAAAAAGCGTTTAATGTCGTTCTTAAAATAAGCTATCATAAATTGAAAGTGCTGAAGTATCTATTTTTAGTCTGCTTTTGTGAAAAAGAAAAACACATAGTTAAAATTATTTATTGAATGGCTGTGATGTATTTGCAGGAAAAGAAAGTTATTTAATGCAGGCTACACACTGACAACACACATCTGAAGAGATGTGTGAAAAGAAAGATCTGACCAGATCACAGAAAAGGGATGATTAGTAGAGACAGATCTAAGCAGTCTCTGATGGCATTTGAGAGATTCCTTTCTGGTTACACGTAAAATAAATGTAATAAAAACTTGAAGATACTTTAAAAGTGCCATTATAAAATTTGATGCCATCACCTTACAACCCATTATGGTAACAGGTGACAAAACTATTTCTCTCTCCTCCAAAAGCTAGATAAGAATTGGTTCAAACTTAATTCAAAAGAAGAGATGTGAGAAAATCAAAACTGAGGTTTACTACCTTTCCAAGAATTGTGTGAATAGGTTCTTCTTCTTCTCCATATTCCGGGCTCTCCATTTTCCACTGCTTCACAGTTTTGTCATCGCCAACCTGAAAATATTGGAGAAAGCATGCACAGCTTTACATAAATATATTCTGTTTATTTTACTAGATGTGCTTTGCTGTTAAGTACAGGCAGACTTTCAAAAGAGAATTATCTATGACATACACAGAAGTAAAGCTTTGCCTATTCACTGTTCTTTTTCATACCTCTAAGCTGAAGATTAGTTCTTCTTGTCATAATATTTCACTAGAAACTGAGAAGATACATGTAAATCATTTGGCCAGAATGAAGTTACCATTCTTCATAGCAGCCCATATGGCACTGTGTTTTGGATTTGTGGCTGATAAGGCACCAATGTCTTGGCTACTTCTGAACAGTGCTTGGGCAGTGCCAAGGCATTTCCCTGCCCCAACTCTGTCAATCATCATCCCTGCTTCCCCCATGTGGGCACCAGACCAGGAGGGGACACTGGCACGACAGATGACCTGAACTGGCCAAAGGAGTATTCCATTCCATATAACATCATGCCCAGCAATAAACACTGGGGTAGCAGAAGAAGGAAGAGGAGGTGGGCTTCCAAAGTGGCTGCTGCTCAGAGACTGTCTGAGGATGTCTGCTTGTGAAAAGAGATGACCAATTTCCTGTTTGCCACCGTTTCCCTCACCACCACCACCTTTCCTTCACCTATTCAACCACCTTATCTCGATCCACAAATCTTTTCCAGTTTCCAAGAAATACTTCCAGAGTTGAATAGGAAAAAAGTGAGCTGGAACAATGACTATTTTCTTTAGGGTACATTTTGTAATTCTTAATCAAAGAGCATAGCTGATATAAGTTAATAAAGCTTAATTAAACTTTTTGAAGTGTTTGTATGTCTTTCAATTAACGTAATCTATCTACTACTTTAATGAAAACTAGCTTACTTAAGTTTTAGTTACATGACCATCTGTTAGCATTTTTCTGGTATTTATCCCTTCCACAGTCTTGAATAATGTCTGTGCCACAGCAACGAAAAAAATTTAATCAGAAACAGAATTGTCAGGTTCACTAACAAATTTAATAAACGTATTCATACACTATTTAAATATTGTATGGCAGAGAGTAAGCTGCTCATTGGAAAACAGATGGTGAACAGGCACCCCGTACTGCTACACTGTACTAAGGAGACACATTATACTTACAGTAAAGAATGATGTGCCACAGAAACGAGCACACATGCCGCGAACAAAGCCTTCGTGGGCTTGTATAGTACGAATACACTGTCGTTTGGTCAAGTTCCAAATTTTAACCTGTTAAAACCAGAAAAGTATTCTTTTGTTATTTAAGTTTTCTACAGCCCACAACCACAGCTCACAATTCAAGTAGAAGAGATCACACATGTTTTGATGAAATGGCATAACTTGCTTGAACACCAGCCAGATTTTATGTTAAACTACTTTTTCAAGAAGGGAATAAATAAGTATTTTAACAATGCATCTCTTTCCTTCTTACCCCTTCCCCCCAACCCAAGCTATGTACTTACTGTAGTTTTGCATTCCCTATTTTTGAACTAGAGTTCTTGCTAAGAGACAGAAACAGTGATAATTTTTGAAAAAATATCCCTCTAAAGAGAAAAGCACAAGGAAACAGCCTTTGGGACCAACAGAACATTTTCAGTCCAGCTGCAGTGGTACATTTTATATAGATGTCCACCTCTCACAGAGGTTTCAGTTTCAAAGTGCTCGGACCCATTTAAAAAAAACTAAGAAATGGCAATATTTTTTTATATTTCTATGCATTTATAAGTACACAGTACTTTACTTGCTCTATTAGTGGATAAGAAACCTGGTTAATCTTTCATATCAATTTATTCCCCTCTTCTCTGAAAAGATTAATCTCCTTTAGACTACTGCATGACCCCCCATGCACCTCCTATAAAAAGCAGAAAGCAACCAGCTACCCAGAAGGCACCTTTAAAATATACAAGTACTATCAAACAAACAACATAAGGGTGAGAGAAGACAGAGGCGAGGCAATTTTTTTCTGCAATTGACTCCAATTAAAATGCTCTTGCTTGCTATTTGTAATATTTATGCAAAATAATCAAACAGAGGGTTAGCATTCTTAGGCAATATGGTAAACTATTATTCCACAAAGTTTTTGGTTGTGTGCCCGTTCTCCCTAGCTCATCTGACTTCATATAATCTTCTGAACCTGCAGCAGTTTAGGGAGGGTCACATGGGCAGCAAAAAGCAATCACCATGGACTGTAAATACTAACATTCATTGCTCCAACCTGAGGAACTGAATGACACACCCTCTGCTCACAGATGAACAACTAAAAGCTGCTACCTAAAGATTTTTTAAACCCTTTGAGTGCTGGAAGGTTATAACCTGCAGTTTGAGAAAAATTATCCCAAAGTCGGTAAAGCTGCACCTTCTTATCAAAGACATAGGATCAAACTGAGCAAAGACATAAAAGAAAGATAAGCAGGGCATACTTAAAAAAAAAAACCACACACAAAAGAGGAAGGAAAAAATAGAAGGAAGAAAGGTACCTTGTTTGTGGTTTGTAACTGCAGCTTACCTCTCCATCACAAGCTCCAGACAGCACTGTGGACAAACTCTTCGGGTGTTTTGCCATGCAATTAACTCCATCTCTGTGGCCATCAAGTGAGCTAAGAAAGGGTTTTGCAAACACACGTTCTAGCTTTGTTGCATTCAGAGCTCTTGTGTACTCTCGCGGAACTTCAAATGGATGCAATACAGGGTCATAGTTTCTTGGAACTGCAAAGAGCAACACAGACATTAGAAACCCATGCTATGTAGTGTAGTTTAAGGTAAAGTGAATTCAGAACTTTTCTCTTTGATTTTCCTGCTACGGGAGAATTTTCTACAACACTAAGATTTTTGCCATTCCTACTGTTTTGAAATTGATCCATGGGTTCATTAGTACGCTCCCTTAACAAGCTCAAAGTTAATAAAGTCTGAAATAACTCTAAAAGTTTTAATGTCCTTTTCAAGAGTATACTGCTAAGCTAATGAAGATAGGAACGCGTGCAACCAAATGGAAGTTGCAGATATCTTGCAACCATTATTTAAAAGAACAAGCATCACAAAGAAAAAAAAAAAGGCAAAAAGCCCCACACCACCAAGCTCCAACTGCTAAACTAACATCCACAGAAAGGACATGGCTACGTGGACATGCACAAAGAGAGGCAACCTAGCCCTCTTCGTGTTTAGTCAGCTGCCAGCCAGACCTGGCTCAGAAATCACATTCATTAGTGTCCTTGGCTTTGTTCTCTGCTAATACTATCTGGTTTCTCAGACAAAAGCGTTTACATCCAACAAACTTCAAGCAAAGGTCTCTCTCTATTCCCCTGCATCAATACACCTTAGAACAAATAGAGAAATAGAGTGGATATTGACATTGTGCTTCTGGGTTTTGTCTCTTTCATTCTGTTTCATTCAAATAGGTTGAAAAGTCAGCAGAGCAACTGACAACAAATCACTCATTAACAACTGGTACTTAATTTTGGACTGGTGTCCCAAAACTATTTGACACATAAGAAAGCATCTAAAATCTCTGATGGAGTAAGGTATCACTCTGTAATAGGACAGGCAATTTGAATCAACAGCTTGCACACAAATCACACTTGGAAAATCAACATGTATAACTACTATCCCAGTGGGTAACTTCAATAACATTTTTCCATGTTATATTACCACAATTAAATAACTAGAGGATGCTACTTACGGTGCTACTTCACACAACACAGCCACTTACCTCCCATTCAATCAAATAATAAAGTATATGCCATTTAAAATACTATAGGTGCATTGTCCTGCTAAAAAGAGTTTTATTTAGTGCATCCAAGACACTCAAGAGTTTTATTCCTGCTCTTTTTGTCAAAGGTTGGATATTTATTAAACTTTATTTCTGACACCAGGTAGAAACTAAACCTTATTTCTATCACATGGCTGAAGTGGAACTGCAGGGCTGTGCGGGATCAGTGCTATGGAGGATGAGCAGAACACAACATGGGAAGTCCCTGTCTCATCAACCAGGCTACCTACAGCTGTTGCATCTATGAATAACGTGTAAAATCCACACGAATGTTGACCCTTTTAATATGGGATATGCAAGAAGAGGATGAGCTGCACCAGGGAAGAAACAGTAGTAAGTACAAAATTGCTAAGAGTAACCTGGGTAATACCAAGGGTACCAGAGTACCAGAAGGGTGACCAACCCCGCCCTCAGCCGCTCCAGACCAGGCTCTGGCACCCCCGGAGCCCGGACTCCGGCTCCCGCCGGGCCGGCTGACGGGACAGCGAGCCCTCAGGGACGGACCCCCGCGGCTTCTGCCGGTGGGCGGAACGCATTCTGCCGGGGCAGGCCCACACCCCGCCCGGCAACCCCAGGCCTCTCCACCACCTCACGGAGCGGACAGGCCCCGGCGGGGCAGGCCCACACCCGGCCCAGCAACCCCAGGCCCCCCCGCCGCCTCACGGAGGGGACAGGCCCCGGCGGGGCAGGCCCAGACCCCGCCCAGCGCCCCTAGCCCCCCCCGCCGCCTCACGGAGGGGACAGGCCCCGGCGGGGCAGGCCCACAACCCGCCCGGCGCCCCCAGTCCCCTCCACCGCCTCACAGACGGGCCACAGCCACTGTTATCGCCTCCGCCGCCCCAGTCAGGGCCGGGGTAGAAGGCTGCGGGAGGCGGGGAGAGGGGGGAAGATGCTCACCGCGCTGCAGATCATGCTTGGTCTCCCGCACATAGTCGTCGGGGTTGCGGCTCAGCACCTTCACCCGCATCCCGGCCACCGCCTTCCCCGCACGCTGCTACTGCCGCCGCCGCCGCTTCCGCCCAGGCCTGCGCACGCGTGACCGGATGCGGCGGGAGGGCTGTTCTCGCGAGACGCCGGGACGGGCGGGAAGGCGCGGGAGGGAGGGGAGGAGGGAGGCAGCGGAGCACCGCCCCCCGCTCCGCCCCGTCCCTTGCCCACGCGCCGCCGCCGCCGCCGCCGGTGATGAGCGCCCGGGGCCCCGCCTGCCCCGCGGAGGTGCCGGTGGCGGCGCCGCCGCCCCTGCGGTCCCTCTTCCGCCATGTGCAGCTGGAGAACCTGGCGGCGGGGCTGAGCGGCGGCGTCGTCTCCACCCTGGTGCTGCACCCGCTCGACCTGGTCAAGATCCGCTTCGCAGGTGAGGCCGGTGTCCCGGGGCGGGGGGGTACCGCCGGGGTTGGCGGAGGCGGCGGCTGCCCCCACGGGGTTCCCCCCGGTGCTGGCCGCTGAAGGGCCGCGCTGAGCGTGTGCGGGGCCCGCCGGTGCCTCCCGGGGGGGAGCCCGGCCTGCCCGTGTGTTCCGGGGGGCGGGCGTGAGCAGGCCTTGGGCTGGAGGGGAGGGTCTCCGGTTCTCCTCCCCCCGATCCCAGAGCTGAATCTCTCTCTCCATCCCGGGGACTCTTGAAAGGCGCTGTTTGCAGGGATCAGAGCTGGCCAGGCCGTTCCCGCTCGGTCGCGGCCGCCGGTGCCGCAGGGAGCAGCCAGAACGCCTGGTTTTAGCGGGCAGGTTGTCTCAGGCCAACGGCCAAAGTTCACCCTGGTGCCCAAGATGTTCAGCGCTCCAAGCGTAGCCGTGGTTTTCCAATAACCCCGGTTGCTAACGGGAGCGGGGTGTTTTACAGGGAGCTCTTGACTTGTTTGTTTTTCTGCAGGGAAGCGTGTCAGCTTCTCCCTCCTCATTTTGCTGTTAACACCAGAAACACCCTGCCCGTTTGTCCCGTTTCTCTTGAAGATGATACGTTCTGAAATGCATTTTTGGTACAGATTGTAACATTTTGAAACAGGTAGAAACATCAAGGCCAGGCTGGATGGGGCTTTGAGCAACCTGCTCTAGTGGGAGGTGTCCCTGCCCAGGGCAGGGGGGTTGGAACTCGATGATCTTTGAGGTCCCTTCCAACCCTAACCATTCTGTGATTCTATTATTCTATGATTTTGCTGCCTCTTTGGGTTGTTACCTTCAGGGAACACAGGGGTGTTTGAGATACCCAGCGCAGGTAGTGAACTACCACAGGGAAGTTTTGCACAATTTAAAAGCGTTACATTTCCAAACAGACTTTTTTTGCAAAGTTGAATTTAAACGCTTTCCTGCGTGTCCTAGCACGGGCACATCCTGGGCTGTGTTATGAAGGGTGTAGCTAGCAGAAGGCCTCCTTTATTTCGCACTTGTAAGATGACATCTGGAGCACCGTGTCTCGTTTGGGGCTCACCAGTACGAGGAAGACATTGACATACTGGTGTGATTCCAGTGGAGGCCACCAGGCTGGTGAAGGGGCTGGAGCAGGCGACATAGGAGGACTGACATAGGAGGACAGGATATGTTTGGCCTCACCAAGAGAAAGCTGAGGGAAAGCAAAATCCTATTGCAGTCTGTGCCCATGTGACTGGAGAACACAGAGAAGGTGGAGCCAGGTCCATCTTTGAGGCGACTAGTGATAGGACAGGAGGGAACAGGCACAAGTGGGAAGATGGAAAGTTCCAGTTATTTATTAGGAAAAAGGATTTTTGCCATCAGAGTGGCCAAATACTGGAAGCTGTTACCCAGAGAGGCTGTAACCTCTTCAGCCTTGGAAATGTACAGGAATCCACTGGACACGTCCCTGAGTAACCTGATCTAATTAGATCTTTTGAGCAGGGGGTTGGGTTAGATGACCTTTGAAGGTCACTGCCAGCCCGAATTACTCTGTGATTCTATATGATGGTTTCAATTTTGTTCCTGATTTCCATCTGTTAGGTTTTGGTTGGACTTACCAACACTTCTTGCAAAAGTTTGTTCCAAATCATTGGATCTGTAGTCCATCTTTTAAGAGAATAGCTCATGTATTGATTCTTGGTACCTGGAGAATACACCTTGGGCACAGGAGGGAATTAGATGCTGATATGCTTTGAGTTTAGATGTCATTTAAGGATGCAGGCTCTTCCTCCCTGCTGCATGTACGTGTCATTAACAGCCCTTTCCATTGCTGGTATGGTTTTGAACTATACCTAAGTTATTTGCTGGTACTGTAACATAAAACTTACTCTGCCTTACCTCCAGGTACCTTTTTAGTCAGACTGTACAGAGAAAAGGAAAGGGATAGTTTCGTACACTTGTTTGGGTTTAAAATAACGATTCCTATGTTTTCCCTTCAATCAGGAAGGAAGAGCTGAGATCAGAAATTAAACACTGTGAAGATTCTCGGCAGCATCCTTAGCAAGCAGACTTACCTTGTTTTAATATGTTTATACACCTGATTTAAGGATAGCATGGTAAAAAATTCAGGCAGGTCTTTGGGAAATGTCTGGCAACGCTCATTCAGGATGGAGAAAAGAGGCATTCAGTTTGTGTTTGAGTTTTCAGTGATTGTCAAGGTGTTGAGGCCTTGTCACAATGTGCTCAGAAAAAGAGTTTTGTCTGTAGTCCTGAAGTCACAATGTACAGTACTGTACAGAAAGTACAAAGGAGAATGAGTAATAAATGTGTCACTGAACAGGAAACATCTGAAATTAACAATTTCCAGGATTAATCTTGATGGGGACACAGAAACTATGCTGACTGTAAACCTCTGAGATTAATTTTCAGTAAAATTGCAATCTAGCCTTATGAAGAACAAAAGGTGCTGCTATGTTGGCACCAGAGAGTAATTTAGGTCAGAAGAGATCTGTGGAGTTCACCCCCTACCTGAGTAGGTAATGAGGTCTGCTCAGATCAGATTTTCAGGGTCTTGTCTGCTGGAGTTCTGCATAGCTCCAAAGCTGCCTCTTCAGACAACTTGTTTCCAGTATTTGACCACTCTGATGGAGAAAAAGTTCTGGTTGGAATTCCCTCTGTTCCAGTTTGTGTCTGTTACCTCTTGGCATCCCACGATGCACCGTATCACACGTGTCATCAGCAACCAGCTTACTCTCTTGCTGTTATGGTAGGAGCAATGGTAGTTACCACTGTAAGTTGCACGAATATCTGTGTTCTCAATGAAATATGTCAAACAAAATCTTGCATGTTTTTTATTTTTTTGGCAGTGATATTTTCTGAGTATTTGGACAACCAGCTGTTTGGTTATTGGATGGGGGAAGTGTATGCTTTTGGTGTTTTCCTGCAAATCCATTCAGTGAGAGTAGAAGGAGAACACAAGAATTTTTGATGGAAACAACCGTTGAGTGTTCTGATAAAAACTGACTTTAGAATCAATAAGACATGACATGTTGAAAATACTCAGATATTTATGGAACATTTTAAAGAGGAAGATTGAATTTAAGAGTTGTTATATGGGACTTGTCTAAACTCCTAATAGAGATGTGTTGTCAAAGACGCCACACGTATCACTTGAAATATAATGTGAAATTGCAGGGGCGCTAAAAAGAAGAGACAAAAAGCTTCAGTTCAAAGCTGCTGGTTACCAAAACTGCACAGCAGGGCATTTATTTAGCCTTGTCAGATTGATGGGAACTTTCCTCTTGCAAAGACCTTAAGAGTTCTTTTTGGTTTTTTTTGTTTTGTTTCTTTTTCCCCTTTTTTTTTCTTAAGTTCTTTAACTAGACTTACAACACTATAAACCTCAACTCTTGCATACTTTCAAAAGAATACTTTTAAAATACAGGTGATCACTTAGGTTTCATATTTGATTGCAACTTGCTTTGGGGGCTGTGTATTTCCTGTGGTGGCTTTTACACAGCTGAACTTCATGCTTCCTGAAGTGTTATCCGGTATAATTTCTTTCTTTCGTAGTAAGCGATGGATTGGAGCTGAGGCCAAAATACAATGGGATTCTCCACTGTATGACCACTGTCTGGAAGCATGAAGGACTACGAGGCTTATATCAAGGAGTAACTCCAAACATGGTGGGAGCAGGGGCTTCCTGGGGACTTTACTTTTTCTTGTAAGTAGAACTGTAAAGTGTGTCATAACCTGTGCAATGCACACTGCATCTTCTTTGGGGACTATAAAAATGTGCTAAGTGGCTTATAAACTTGTGATTCTTTTAGTAAGTCCAGGTCTGTTACCCTTTGTTATGATTTGTGGTTTTAGAACTTAAGCAGTTTGAGTCAGAGACTTGTTACTTTGTCAAGTACAGTACATTCCCTTGATGCTGTGAAAATACTGACGAACTTGAGAGATGGTAACATCATTCATGAAGAATCCTCTAAAAGTGCTTAAACCTCACAAGAAATAAAAACCTAAACTGATGTGTTAAGAATTAGAGAACATGATAAAGTTTTCTACTAAAGCTAAATGTTAAACTGATTTTTGATAATTTTTGTGGCACTTGGTTCTTTCATTGTTTCTGTGAGTTGACGGGCTTTGCTTATAAAGCCTGGTTTTTAATACTCAATCTTTTGTGCTTTATTAGCTGTGTGACTGACCTGATTTACGGCTGATCCCTATTAATTGAAACACTTTAGGGAATATTTAGTTGGTGTGCCTATGCAAACCTCACTTGTCTAGACTCTGTTATTGTCGTCCTTCAGTCCCCAAGCTTTGCTATAGGTTCCTATTGACCGTTCAGCTCCTGTTGACAGTTGATAAATCCACAAAGACTGGAAACTAGATCAAGAGAAGAGAGCTCAGTGCATTTCTGAGCAAGAAGATACCTGTCACTGTTGCTCTCAATAAAATCAGGCTATCTAATCAGTTTCTTTTTGAAGTTAATTCTGGAAATTCCATAGCTGTTTCAAGATGCAATCCCATCAATACTGACAGTAGTACTTGATAAATTTAAATATCTATTACCATCGTTCAGTTCACTTTTAAGAGCTAACTGCTCAGAGATCAATTAATCAACTAAACAAAGATCATTTGCTTAGGTAGCTGTTTTCAAAGGCTGTGTACACCTAATGTTTTCCATGATCTTAAGTGAAGTGTTTTGTTGTTTGGGTTTTTTTTTTAGTGATGTAGGTTTGTTTTCTCCTTTACCAAAATATATTTTATATTTCCAGTTACAATGCCATCAAAGCTTACAGGAAGGAAGGGAAGCTGGAAAGTCTCAGTGCAACCGAACACCTAGTGTCAGCTGCAGAGGCTGGTGAGTTTAAATGCAAAGAAAATTAATGTTTGCTTCTAGCCCTCCCGTATGTTGCTCCCTGCCTTTGTGTGTCACTGCTGCTTTTTCTTACAGGTGGCAAGTGTAAGTGTTCAATTCCAAATGCAATCATTTATTGTCTGCAAATAAATTAATGATGTCTAAGTTGAATAGATGGATCACTGGGGTCTTTTCAGTTTTGCTCAGAAATAGCAGTTGTCAAAATACCTTTTGGCCTTGTTTTCATTGTGTATAAGCATTTTCCTTATTTAGTACTCTATTGAGTCCCAAAATAAAACTATATAAATCTGCTGCTGTCAGCTTGTTAACTCGTTAAATGTTTAACACTTAGACCTGGATAAGAGAAGGCCTATTGAAGGTAAAGAATATGTGAATTGATTGTTGGTCTTTGAAAATCTTAGAAGCTAAAGATCTGAAATAAAAATCCAACTTCTATAAGCAATACTTTTAATAATGTTGTTTCTAACATATGTTCTTATACATGAGTCTGTGCTGTATTTAATCTAGGCAGTTGAGAAGACTTCATATTAGGAAGTTGGAACATTTGTATAATGTTGAAATATAAGGCATATTGTTTGATGTGAAAAATAGTGATGGGTTATTTTACAACGGTATTTTTAATAACCCATAACGCTATAACAAGTTGCTTCTATTAGCCTGTCAATATGATGAAGCAAGTTTTTCATTACTGAGGTGTCCATTGAATTTTAAAGAGTTGTATACCCGAAGAATACTTGGATAATCAGGAGTAGGTTAAGAAATTACACCACTGACTGTGGAAAGGTGAGGCAAAAGATGGGATTAAATAGGAATATGCAAAAAGCTGTATGCTCTGCAGAAGTACCTCCAGCAGGTTGGACTTGATTGTTAGCTTTGAAGGCAGAGAAAGGGAACAATGATGGGCGTAAAGTTCACTTCTTTTAAGTAATATGAGTACTCTTGTAGGATACGTAGTTTTGTCATTGTAGAAGCCTGTGTTACACTGGACTGAACAAACTGGGACAAGCTTTGGAGTTGGCATAACAACCAGTCTGACTTCCATCTGTTCTCAGGAGCCATGACTCTCTGTATTACAAACCCAATATGGGTAACGAAGACACGACTTGTTCTTCAATATAACGCTGGTGTTGATCCATCCAAGCGGCAATACAGAGGAATGGTTGATGCTCTTATAAAGATATACAAGATGGAGGGCATACGTGGCTTATATAAGGTAATAAAATTTAAGAAAAATTCCAGAATTGGCTGGCAGCAGTCAGTAACATGGTGAGACTTGTAAATACTCATCTACAAAGAAGTAATTTTTTTTATTGACTGGCTTGCTTTTATTCTGTGAGTCTTCTTTCCCACTGAATTGCTGCAGTGAAAAGGCTTAATCGGAAGAAAAGCTATTATATTGTTAACATTTAGGAAATAACTGAAGAATACAGTATAAGTTTTATGGCTAAGACATCTTCTATTAGGTGATAAAGCTGAAATGAGAGTAAACTACAAACTGCTTTTTAATTTTTTGGAGTCTTCCTACAATTGGAATTTGGATAAGGAGGGCACCAATAGTGTAATCTATCTTGCTGCTAATGCTTTCTTCCACTTCATTCCTTATCTCTGTCTTTCTAACATCTTGTGGAACATAACATATGACTAAAGTAGTTGCTAATTTTTTCTGCTACAATGGATGGTTTCACAACTGCTCGTTTGCCCTCTAGTTATTGAGGTCTGTAATCTGTCATCTCTAGATCCATAACATTTGCAGACTTCTAAATATGGTCTGCTTATGTGTGGGTTTTTCATTCCCTTTAATTTAGGGAAACAGATGGCAACTGGATTTGGACTTTTTGCCTCCTCCTTCCTTCAGGGCATGACATCAAGATGCATTCATCAGTGCCTGGAAGGTGTGAAGAAACCTATTTTAGTTCAGTCTGGCTCTTCTGCAAGTAATGCTATAGAACACGAACACTATCTCTTAGGAATTCTCCTGATTACTGAACATTAACTTCTTTTATTTGCTGTAAAAAATATAATCCTTCCTGTACTGAAAGTACACTACATACTGATGAATGCCGAATTCTGACACCTTACTTATTCCTGAAGTGAAATTGTCATGATTTCCAATTTGCCTGCCTGGATGTCCGCTCTGTGCCACGTAGATAAGTTTTAATTTCTTGCATCTGTTGGGGTTTAAAATGTCCTTCCATTGAGTCACTTCTCAGATTATTCCTGCATGTATCATGTGCTGCCTTTGGCACTAGGCACTTCTTTGTAGTGTTAATCTGTAAGTGGAGAACTAAACCAGGTACTTCCTTTAAAAGAGCAAATTACTTGCTTAAATCTGCAGAGAAGGTGACCTAGATAGGTCCTGAGTGACCTATATAACTATGCACACTGAGCAACTTTCATTTGACGTCAAGATTCTCTCATCCTTGTCTGTACTGGGGAAAAAGGCACCTCTTCAAGTGGCTCTTTGGTTTGTCCAAACTTTAGTCTTCCTCCATTTTCTGTTTTTGTGGGACTTTTCATTTTCAGTCTTTCTTGCTTTATTTGAAATTTGATGGGTGAAGCTTTGCTAATTGCCCTGAGTTGCAGGAACTGTAGTGCCCATGAATGTCTTCATTTTCCTCACAATCTTAATTTCAGATAGAGTTCCTTATAGCAAATAAGAGGATCTTGGAGAATGCCACCACAAGTTGGAAATAAAATCTGGAAGTAGTTTCTTTCTGATTAATTTAAGATTAGTCTTGTGAAGAATGGTATTTCTGTCCAAGCAATTCCATATCTTGCTCTCTGTTGCACAAGACACTGTTACTGGACTGATGAATTCCTTTCAGTCCTTTTAAATTGTTTTTTTTTCCCAACTGTCTGCTGTTCAGAATTATATGCTTTACCATTTAGATTTCTAATTATATATTTAATTCTGTCTATTGTTCTAATCCTCCAAAAGAGAATTCAAACAAGACTTCTTTGAACAACCACTGATCCTGTCAAGCCCTCCTGGCAAAAATCTTCTAAAGATATGTTTTGAATATTAAAGTAAAAGATAACAAGAAATACACAAAGTGAAATTATTTTAAAATCAATCTTCACAGTCATGTTACAGATCAAAAATAAATTTCAAATTCTGTTAATTTTTCTAGCAAGGAAGATTTTTGTGTAAAATAGTAAGAATAAGAAAATAGAGTAGGAATACGTTTCAAATACTTCCTCAGCCAAGATATTTCATTACTGTGAAGAAACCAGTTTTGCTTTGAAATATTTTCCATAAGAACACATTGTTTTGTATGATCAATAGAAGCCTGGGTCAGCTCATATTTTACTGAGGCACATTGGCTGACAGTTGCCTCACTCCCTTCTTGGATTTTTTAATTTTGGCTCAACATTAAAAGTCCTTCAATCTTTGGAAACTTCCCCATCAGCACAAGACTTAGAGCGTGCTGGTGCTCATTTAGCAAGTATCAGCAGTAGATGCTTTGGAACCCTTGGGTGTAAGTTATCCGAATCTGCTGCCTTAAATTTAAGAGTTCAGCACTCTTAAATGTTGTTTAACATTCTCCTTTTGTTGGTGGGGAAAAAAATATTACCTCATTCTTCTATGATATAAAAACACCATTCTAATTCTTTCCAAGTAGAGAGCAGTTATTTCCTCTGCCTTTTAACGGTTTTACTGTCTAATCATGGGCATGTTTGTGAAGATTTTCTCTGCTATCGCTGTACATACACTTCATACTGTTTCCTGCTCTGCTGACTCAGATAATTTTTTTAATGGGTATTTTTAATTTTTTTTTTTTTTCCGCTGTTCCTCTTATTCTGTTTTTTATATTGCTGGTTATTTTCTTTCGTGATCCAGGATTTCTGAAAACCAAAGTTGTCCTTTTCCCTCTGTTGTGGCCCTTTGGCTTCAAACTAAACAAAATTCTATGATTGTGCTCACAGTTGATGAAGTATAAGTGTTTGGTTTAATTCCACTTGTTCTCAATTGGAGAAATGTATTTTCTGGAACTTTAGCTAGCCCTTAATGCATTTCATCAGTTAATGGTCACTGATGATTCGTTTATGACCATCATTTTCTACTGTGAGAAGAATCCTCATTTATCAAAGAGATCCTAAAAGTAATTTCCTGAATGGCTGTAATATGAACTTAAGAAATCTATAGGATGCAGAGAGCTAATCTCTGAAGTAACCTATCATTTTGTCCTATTACACTGTTCTAGTGGACTCCTACCAAGATTCTCTCTCTTTTTTTTTCTCCAGGCTCTTAACTGATAAGTCTTTGTTCAACATTCTGGGCTTCCAGTTCAGTCTAATGTAGAGCTTTCTGTCTGGACACTTCTTTTAATTCCTCTGTCCTACCTGAATGGAGCATAGGAAATAAGATAAAACTGTTTGATACCAGTATTTTGGGGGAAATGTTGGTTCCTTGAGTCCTTTTACCCACATTTTGATCACTTACTCCATTATAATTGTCCTTTTGCAGTAGTTTCCAGCAAGCTTTTGGCTCCCTTCAGTCATTTCTGGCTGAGATGATTAATTCCCCCCTTATTTGTTTTTTTCCAGTGTAAGTGACCAACTCTTCAAAAAGAGAATTAGTGCTTCTCAGAACCCATGCAGCTATTAGATCATTTTCAACTGAGCTAATCCAGCTCCTGCCTTCTCTTTCTTGTAGAGAAAGTTCAGAAAATACCTGTTTTCGCCCTTCCTTTAATTTCAACTTTTTTAAAATAAAAGATTTCTGTGTATTTTCCAATTATACTCTTGCTGTCCATTACTGCCTCTTACAAATGGGGAACGTTTCCCAGACTGCTTTGTTACTGTGGCGGTCACCTCTTTGGTGTTACTGTGGTGGTCACCTTTGGTCATCTCTGCTGGACTGCCTTGGACAAGTCTTATGAGGAGAGGCTGAGGGAGCTGGGGTTGTTCAGGATGGAGAAAAGGAGGCTGAGGGGAGATCTTAACCCTTTCTACAGCTACCTGCAAGGGGGTTGTAGCCAGGTGGGGGTTGGTCTCTTCTTCCAAGTAAAAAGCATGTATGGGTTTTGTGCATTGTTGTTTGACCTTACTTTATTCCTGTTTTTTAGGGATTTGTGCCTGGTCTGTTTGGAACTTCACATGGAGCACTTCAGTTCATGGCCTATGAGGATTTGAAACTGAGATACAACAAATATAGAAACAGAGTAGCAGATGCAAAATTGGTATGATTCTTTAAACTAAAAATGTGTTGTGGCATGTGAATAAGTGGAAATTTATTCCATTTGTCTAGGTTGAAGAACATCCAAATGTACAAAGCATTGATACATTAATTGGAACATAGAATGTGTAGAAGGAAATAATACTTTTTCACTTTTTAGGAACAAGCAACGGGGTAGTGCTGTTTTCCTGTACGGAAATCAACTTCTTATTTTGGCAAATGTTTTGAGAATTTGAGAGGGAGGAATGTTTTTTTTTCCTTTGTAGAACCTTACATGGTTGTCTTAAACACTTACATGGAAAACTGGTCAGGTGCAAGTTGGGGAAAGCTAGTTACTTTTGGGAGAAGTGTTTCACTGCACAGTGTGTTTTACAATTAATTACTTGTAGCACTTTATATAGTAAACGTTACCATTTTTTTTAATTCTTTGTATTATAAGGGGGACAAATCTAGAGTATTGTTTAGTTTCGCATTTAAAAATCAAATAAGATTTTGGGAAATCGGCTAATTTAAACCATTCTTAAGGCAATCCTGGTAATTTTTGTTGCTTTTAGAATACTGTGGAATACATAGTGATGGCAGCTGTATCCAAAATATTCGCTGTGTCAGCAACGTATCCCTATCAAGTGGTGCGAGCTCGTCTTCAAGATCAGCATAATACTTACTCCGGTGTCTTTGATGTGATCGGCAGGACGTGGAGGTAGGCATGCAGAATTTAAAGCTTAGGGCTTGGAAAATGAGTCTTACAGAATCAGAACGATGTTTACTGGCTGCCCTGCTGACTTGCAGAACCAGTGCAGCTCAGAGCAAACAAAACGTTGGCTGTGCAAAGCCCTTTTGTGCAAGATGCAACTAATTGGAAATCTAAGGACAAACAGAGGAGGAGAGAGGAGGGGGCAGCGCTGGCCTGCATGCTTCTGTTGTTTATTCTGTCTCCCTTCACTCTTCACCAGCAAATTTCACTTACAGGTTAAAATGTAACTTTGGGTTGGCTGGTTTGGGGCTCTTAAACAATGAAATCTCACATGAGCTGCTTTAGATGATGGCATGTGACGGGGGTGTTGCGCTGCTGGGAGTTGTGGCTAATCCAAATTCCTGGCAAGAGGAAGTGAGCTAGCCAGAGCTGTTTGTACTGGTGCCCCGGGGTTACCCTGGGGCCTGACTGCCCTTGTAGCCTGGTCCCAGCTTCCCCTAGGACCTTTAGAGCTCACACCTAAGCACATCTCCTCACAAACCCTCTTCCCTCAGCTCCCCAGGGCATGTGAGCGTTCTCACACAGAACTGCGTAGTTACTAAGGTTGGTAGCCAACGGCTTTGGACAATGTTTCTGGGATGCTGCGTATCATTTAAGAGATGTGAACGGAGTCTGCTGACTCCTGGGGCACTAAGAGGTGCCACCTGAACAAGAGAATGAGGCTTTGTTGTTCCAGGAACACCCCCGGCTCAGGGGCAGTACAACCAGTTTGACTGAAGCCGATTCAAAGCCAAAATAGCTCTGGAGTCTCGACACTGTGCCCTTCAGTGCTGCAGTCTATAGGAAGGCTTATTTGTTCTGATAAAGTGTGAATGTATACAGCCATTCTGGGGCCACTACTGTACTCACTATTAAACAATGCAACCTAGAGCCCTAGGGAGGGTGGTGTAAATCACACCCAAGCACTTTCCAGGATCTGCGTTAACCGTGCTCATCACTCCAGGTGTCCTAGGCCTCTGTGAAGCTGGAAAATAGGGAGCTGACATTAAGAGTCTTTGAAACTTTTTACCAGGCCTAACATGAATATTCCGATTCAAATTGGGAGAAATTAGATTCTCATTTATTGGCCAGTGGAAGCAAGATTCTGGAGGAGGTGCTTTAATTTTCTGTAAATAAATGCTGACTATTCTTAGTTATGTTCACCCTCAGCTCACTTGCCGTTACATGACCCAAAACCACCAAGCCTTCCAGCCCTGCTGGCTTCAGTGAGATTAAATATGCAAATGCTTTTTGGAACAGGCTGCAGAAATTTTAAGTTATTTTAACTAGTTCTTATGGGATGAAGAAAGATAACAAATTGCCTCCTGCTTAGACAATACAAAAAAACACTACAAAAACCCACCAAACCCTATGCTAAATAACTGATCTACAGAATACTATTGTATGTTCAGAAGAAAAATGATGGGTTAAGATTTGATATATTGTGTCTCTTAAAACACTATAGTAAGAAATTATTCTGAAATTGTTACTCCTAACCTAAAGTACCTCTCTCAGTTCCAGCACAAAAAGAAAAAGGCCAGGCTTTGTTTTATGTCTGATTTCTATTAAAAGACAATTAAAGCTAATGTTTTTCTGTGTCTTTAAAGGAAAGAAGGAATTCACGGATTTTACAAAGGAATTATCCCCAATGTGATCAGAGTGACTCCTGCCTGCTGTATTACCTTTGTCGTTTATGAAAATGTGTCTGGTTTTTTACTTGGGTTTAGAAAAGAAAATCATTAAAGGTACGAGCTTGTGTCCACAAGGAATCTATTCTTTATTTTTTATATTTATGATCTGGGAGAGATTTTGTTCAGCGCTTTTTTTTTTTTTGTGACACTGTGAACTGATCTAGTATTTTGAGGAAAGAACCTGGAGATAGTAAAACCCTGCCAACATCTCTTCTGCTGAATGTTCCTGTGTTGCTGCCTTCCTCTCTGAATCAACTGTATCTGCTTGAAACAGATGTCTCTGCAACTGTGAAATAATAGCACTGTGACTGGGTGAAGGCAGCTGTGCAGCAATTCAGTTCATCCTGGCCTGCCTGGAATAACGGACTGATCTGTTTTGACAAGTCTCAAGATAACAATTGGTCAGATTTTACTCCTACAGAAGTGGGAAACTTCATATAAAAGCAACTCTGGGGTCTGTCAAAACTTTCTTAAATCTTTATCTGAATCTCATGAAGAAAGTATGTAGGTAGTTGTTTACAGCAATTCTGAATCCACCTCTGTGTTATTTGTCAGATTTTAGGATATGGAATGCTCCAAATTCCATTGGTTATCCAACACAAAAATGCTGCCTCAGTGGGGTGCAGTTTGGAAACTCAAATTGTTTTGTAAAACATCTGTCCATTCTTGAGTTTGAATAATTGCCAATCTGATGAAACCCAGTTCTTGTCTCATACCAGGACAGACATGCATTGTGGTTTCTGGCTTGCTTTTAGCACCAGACCAAAGTGTATGTTATGTGCATTGCTGACAATTCATTTTCTTTCTCTTCCCTGTCTGCCCTCTCTTTCTCTCTGAGCAAGATTCTGTCTCTGTTACTGATACATCTGACCAAATATTACTAAGTAAAGGCATATTTGAAAGTAGGCGAACATTTTTAAAATAGTTTTTTTTCTAGTAATCCCATAGTGATGCAGTTTTCAAACTACTGTAACAACAAGTATGACCCTGCTTATTTTCAATAATATTTTCTAGGAAAAAAATTATTCTGTAAGTCATCTAAAAAATATTGTGCACAGGACTTTATGTAAAAAAACCAAAACAATCCATTAACGTCCTCTGATTTGGTCTAAGGAAAGGACAATAGGAATGTATTGATTGCTAAGAGTGATAAACTAAATTAGAGTACATCTCAGTAAATTTGTATAATGACGTTTATTTGCATGCCAGTAATTGCTATCAAGGAGATGTACTTTTTGCAGATCCGGGTTAAAGTTATTCTTTAAGGAAATACATTACTGGCCATTACATCTGCCTTCTGATGTAAGTAAAAAGGTATTAAGAAGTATCTAGAAAGTATCACTTAACTAAGGAGGAAATAAGTTAGTAAAGATTATTCAACAGGTAGAGGGGAAAAATGAGTTTCTAAGGAGCAGAGAATGCTACCCAGAAAAACATCTGAATAATCACTTAGAGAAGTTTCCAGTTTAACAGAAGACTTACCTGAAGCAAAAATAGGGGTTTTTTTATAAAAATTTAACACATTAGGGAATTGGTTTTAATTTTGAAGTTAAATCTGGAAGACTACAGAAACTGCTTAATATTTTAAATCTTAATTCAGCAATCCACTTGCTTGTTTCTGTTCACACTATTGCCACATGCCACATTTTGTGTATACTTCACTTTATTAATAATTTATACTTTCTCCACGATTCCATCCCCTCTAATAATACAGTTTATAATCATATCTGAAAAGGGCACGTGTCTGTTATTGTTTGGTTTTTATTAAGAAAATTTTCATGTGTATTTAGCTGAAGATCAAATTCACTGGAAGTTTACTGTGCGAATGACTGTATAGATCCCTCACAGCTACTAACTTCTGCCTTAGGAGGGTGTTTACTTGCTTTTGTGTGTTTTCTAGCACGCAGAATGAATTTAATGTAACACCGAGTTAACTCTGCCACCCAGGGTCCAAAAAATATTGTGAAGACAAATTAATATATCCTAAGAAAAGAATAAAAATTGTGCACTTACTACCCTGGAGTGGTGTGCCCTAGGCCCAGAACAGCTCACTCGTGCTCCAGGGTAAACACAGAGAGAGGCTGCACACATGTACACAATCCATTACTGTATGGTAACTGACATTCTGTAAATTCACGCCATAGCTTAGCTCATAGTAACTTGTTTGTGTCCAGATACCTTAAAACCCATCGCCCAAGCCAATGAAAACAGTGCAGTTCTTCAGAGACCAGACAGCAGCTGTATAATTTGCTGGCGTGCAGCAACAGCACACATAAGCTTGCAGTTGGGAAAGCCTGAATGCTCCCCTCGCTGCCAGTCTGTCCCTCTGGAATTCTTAACAAAAGCTGCAGGCAAGAGCTACTGATTTAAGAGATGCCTGGGGAAAGTCTTAGAACCCGTTCAGAAAAAAAGAAGCTGAGATTTAATCCTAAATAGCTGAAATAAATTCCTCATCTCCAATTTGATGTTTTTTCCTTTTAATTTCTGGGAAGAGTGTAGATTTCTGCATGTTGTACATGCTTTTTCTTGGGTTTTTTATTTAATTCATGTAAAGATTTTTGTAATATAAATATGACTATGGTTTTCCTTTAGAATTTACAATTAAAAAAAAAATTGAGTATATCACTCCCTGCATTTGGGAAGAAAACACTTCAGACACTGAAGCTAATGGTGTGCTGAAACGACCAGTGTTGTCACTTGTCCAGTCTGGAGGCTGCAGGCAAATAGCTGTGACATCATTCTTTCACTTTACCAGTATGTTTTTTGAAAGCCAATGCATTTCAATCTGCTTTATTTCTGAGAATAAAAGTTGTGCACTTACTACCCTGGACTAGTGTGCTCCCAAACTATTTAATATGTCTAGCTTTCAATTAACACCAAAGTGATTGTATATAATATGAAAGGCTAAATCCAGGAGAATTCTTTTATTGGGGCAATAAAATTAAGTTTTGTAACTGTAAAAGTATTTATTATCTGCATGCTAATAGTGGAGATCTGTAATAGATGTTTATACTGACATCCAGTCTATCAAGAAGCAAAAGAGGCAAGGAGAGCTAAGATGAGAGTCTATTTTATACTTAGTTATTCAGAACAAGGTCTTTAACACTTACCACGTCATCTAGGTCACAGTTAAGTCACCAGGAATTTGTTGGGAGACTTAAGGGCATCCTGTTGTGTTGTCAAGTTCACAGGAGCAGATATTACAAATGTTTTCTGCAGGCTAAAGCCAAGACATGGGTTTACTTTCTTTGAACTTTCTATGAAGTCTTCTAAAAAAAAAAAAAATTGTGTATCATAACACCATGTAAAATACCTGAAACAGTTTGATGATCAATAAAATAGCTGGGATTTTTTTTTGTAAAAGGTCTTATTTATTTGATACAAAAAGTTACAGTTCATTCTTAAGATGGCGGTGGTATATTTTTATACATTAAACAAGGAATTAAAAAAGTTAATGAACTTGGTCTTGATGTTTGTATTCTAAAATGGTTATTACAAAAAGCCTCTGCAATGTGCAAAAAAAGGCTTGACAAACACTACAGATGCAAGAGTTTGGTGCGTTTCAGTCAAACACTTGCATCCAACTCTAGAAATAACTTGTGAAGAAAATAGTACAAAGTAAAAAAAAATAGGGAGAGATTATAAAAAGGGAGGGAAGGTTATTTTGGCAGTTCTTCAATGATGATTCGGGAGACTGAATTCCATCCAGTAGAAGCATCTCCCCTTGGATAATCTGAGCAAGTCCCGACCCAGATGGCAATATCCACCAAGCCGGCATTGATCCCTTCACACAGCCCTTCCACTGGGTAAAGACAAAAATCAGGTTACCTTGGTGATTGCGACTGCTGTGCATTTCACAACTGAAGATGGACACAAGGCCTTCAGAACTGCAGTTCATTGCAAGCTCATGCTATTTAGTTAAACCGGAATGACACTTTTAGAAATGAGAACTATCGCTTAGAGACGGGGCAACATCAGTTACGGAGTCAGGCACTGCCTTTATCCGTGGTGCATCCTGATGCCTGGAGCATCTGACCTGAAGCAGATCACAACCCACAGGATGGCTAAATGGGAGGTATGCCCACTTCTTTAAATGTCTAAATTTACATACTGCTAGCTGGGATGTGGCTTCAGTCCCATTCAGCCATCTTTTTAGCAGTGATGGGGACAGGCACAGCCATACCTGGCTTCCACAGCTGAGCCCTGCAAAGGTGATTGCCACCCTGTAATCTTTTCCACTCCTAATTCACTGCTTCTGTATGAAATTCCACTTAAGTTGCCCTTTCTGTTTCCCCACTAGCACCACTGGCTGGAGGTGGGTTAATGAGGACAGGTGGGACCTACCCCCTTGATGGAAAAAACCTGTCATAGCCCTAGATGTTGGATTTCATGCAGCTGTGGAATAGTACAGGGAGAAACATGGCCTTTTGCAAAGAGCTGGGCTGCTGGCGTCACCATGCTTCAGCTCTGCTCAAAGCTAAGAAGAAAATACATGTAATGTGGGGAGTATTCAGAGCCAGAAGCCCGTTAAATTAACGCAACCTTTCTGGTTTTACACATATGTCTCAGAGTGTAAGTATCAACCATCAGAAAGGAGACAGAGTCCAGACATGACGTTAGTCCCCTTTTCCTAGTATCAGCTTCTTTGATGTTAAGTGACTTCACTAATTTGCCTTTTGCTTAGCAATGGAGTAACTGTTCCTAGATATTCCACTTTGGAGGTACTTTTGTGCCCCACCTGAAAATTACAGCAGTAACTCCAGGAGACAGCAGTCTTCCTTCATGCACAGATAATGCAAAATATCAGTATTTTAAGCTGGGATGACACCATCTACTTGGCTGCAAGGCCATTTCTCCATGTGTTAATACAGCACAGAGTGTCTCTCTATCCACATTGTAGCAGAGAGCGATAGAACTGCCTGGATAGAAATCTATCCCATTTCTAAATCGGAGGATGTTAAGTACCATGAAATACCACAGTAATAGAGCATCGCTTAGTAAATAATTCTCCCTCTGTTGCTGTTGCTAGTCAGCTGTGGGACAGCAGAGTCCCAGGTGTCAGCCCACCCTCCTCTGCCTCTTCCTTCAGCCTTTCGGCTTTCTCCAGCAGCCTGCACTCTGGTAACTCAATTTGCTACTGACTTCTGCTCCGCCTCTGTCCACACAGTCTTGGCGTACGTACCTGAAGAAGTTCGGTGTATATTAATGGTGGAATTCAGCTCCGGGCTGCCTTGATCTAGATATATTATGGCTTCAATAGGAAGTGGCCCGGCACATTCTGCTCCGTTGAAAGTGAAGTACCAGCGCTGACAACAGGCCGTTTTGCATTTCAGCCGCAGCGACCCGCTGAAGAGCACGCGCAGGGCGCTGTTCGACCGCATCTTCGTGAATGTGCATTCCTACGAGGAGACAAAACCCCTTGGTAGCAACCTGGTTTTCAATCTATTTAACAGCTCTCACAAGATCTATCTGGGTTAAAAACAACAACAACAACAAATAATAATAAAAATGAAGGCCTAAACGCTTATAAAAGCTCCACAACTGAATAACAAACACTTTCAGGTTTTTAAGAGGTTGTTATTCTGCCTTTAAAATGCTGGATATTGTAGGGGGAAAAAGAGCTAGGGATAGTTCTGCAAGCACAAGGCAGTAAGGAAAAAAAATTGGATCTCTCTCTCGCCACAGCGATAGCAGTTAAATCACTTCAACCCATCTGGGCTTTGCCTCAAAGCTGGGATTGAGCTGAGATTTCTTCCCCTCGTCTAGGCTTGCACCATTGCATTTAAAACTTTTATACCCAGGGCTGCAGTGGAGGGCAGACTGCTTGGGTCAGCCTGGGTAACGCTCGTTACCTCTGCTCCTGAGCAGTGCTCAGCCTTCCTGCAGCAGCATCCTGCAGCCCAGTTTCACTGAACAACCGTTTTGAAGCAGAAAGTATAAAGACACATAAATCGACAGATTAATGTACATCTCTCCTGTTCCTTACACACAAAATGGCAAGACCCTTGCCCTACTTTGGGCAAACTGGAGGTACTTTATCAATAGTGTGACTCTCAGCCTTACAGTTACAGATCTGGTCCTCTAAATGTACCTTTACACCAGCCACATCACTCTTTTGAAACTGATACAGAAATGAAATGGGCACCCGGCTGTAAAACACAGCTGAGATGGATCTGAGGTAGCCAAACCTTTGTGAAGTCCACCCTTAAGTGTAGGAAAAAGCTCCAATAGGAAATCTGTACAACTGGTGCTACCCAGCTGGCAGAGGCAGATCCAGGGCCTGCAGCAGCCTGGGCCCAGCTGACTTACTGCGATCTTCCCAAGATCGATGCCGTAATTAAGCGCGCTCCACGAACACTGCTTGAAGTTGGGCGTCCAGGACTCCTCGATGCTCTCGCGCATGCACTCCCCCTTCTCCCCCTTCAGCCCGTCCCGTCCCGGGATTCCAGGTGTCCCGGGGATCCCGTTGGTTCCAGGGTTTCCATCCCGTCCAGGAACGCCACTGGGGCCTTGCAAGCAAACGCCGCCGTTGTACTGAAACACAGAACAGGTCCTGCTGCTTCCACCCACCAGCTCCAAGGCTAAGCAAGATAAACACAGGTAACAACAACAAAACACAAAAACCCTGCTGTGACACAGGCTCATGGGCTATTTCTGGATCACCAAGGAAATGGTTCCATAGAGGGGAAAAAAAATAAATAATAAAATTTCAAAGATATGCAGTGCCAGCAGATTTTGCTGTAAATTAAGATGTCAATTATTATACGAAAGATGCATAAATCCTAGAATTAAAAATGGGCTTAGTCTGAGGACTCAAACCTGTTGGAAAACCTCAGAAGATTCAAACCATTCCGATAGAGAAACAAAAAAAGATTTGTATGTTAATAGTTACCTTCTCCTAACCCATCATTACTTGAATAACTGTCTGGGCTAATAAACTTTCATTATTATTTTTTCCTTTTTATATTTTAAAGCAGAGAAACTTTTGCATTTCACAGAGAGCGGAGGTGAACGCTGGTTTTCTCCTGTCACCACTCCTCTGGGCCAGAATGACACCGTGATAGTGAAGCCACAGCAAGTCACCGTCTGTCGGTGTGGACATGGGAAGCTGCACCCTGGCACAATCCTGAACTCGGGATTGCCAGCCATAGTGGTGACAGAAAGGGAATCACGGGAGGACAGCACACTAACGTCCTCCCTAACATCACAACACTAGGAAAGGTCAAATGTTTTTCTCCCAAACTGTACGTTAACACACGTTGCCTCCATGCCATATGAGATTTGGGTTTGCCCTCCTTGGGGTGTAGGTTTGTGCAGACCAAAGCTCCTTCCCCCAGCGGCACGAGCGTGTGGATCCAGAGGAGCAGGCACAGAAACATGGAGCAGGAACCCATTGGGGCTGGAGACGGCAGGGCTTTTACTTTAAACACTCTTTCCCATCTGGTGACTGACTGTCCTCCAGTCTTCACCTCAAATCCTCACAGGTAACTACATTCTGCTCTGCCCCCGTCTCACACCTATTTCTCTTCAGCCATTTAAAACCACCTGTAAATCCCCACCCGTTTCAAAAAGAAACGGTCATACAACTGTTCCCCCTCCTGCAAGCCATGCCACCACCTGCACCACAGGAGCTGTAAACTCCTTGGTCAGCCCAGTGAACTTTCTTCTTCTGGGGGTGTTCCTTTTCCTCTGCTTTGATGCAAAAACCAGAATGGGCATCACAGGCTCAGTGACTCGGTGACTTTACGAGGAGGTCTAGTAAGAAGTAAGATGAGAGCTGGACTAACGGACACTGGCATTCTCTTACTACCTTCACCAAAGAAGCCACTGTCAGTAAATGGCAGTGGAAATAGTGGGATACTATAACCAAGCAGGCCATGTTTAAAAAAAGTTAGCTGGAGAGAGGGCTGCTGGGCAAAGCACACACTGACCTAGGGACCATGAGAACAATGCAAAGACATTTCTATTTCACACACCACGGGTCAGCTGCTTTTGCTGCTCTTTTCCTGTTAGACTATTTGTAACAGTGACTGGCTCTGGTTTTATGTGTGGTTTCTCACCACAGAAATCCTGAGGACGTGGAAATCAGCAAGACTTGGGGGTAGGCCAAGGCTCAGACCCACCACCCCCCTGTGCCCTGGGGTCACCAGCAGCACCAGGAGGGGACAAGGCTGCCCCAAATCAGGAGCTGCCACCCTGAGCTGCACTGTTCCCTGCCAGAGAGAGCAACTTAGCCACTGCCCACCTGAAAAACCTGATGTGAACGAAGGAATGTCCTGGGCTTCAGGCTCTGCTCCAACTAAATTCAGCTACGCTTGCCAAATCAAGTCTTTTTTATGCTTTCCTAAGATAGAAATGCATAAAACATCTTTGAAAATGTCTGCTGAAGGCAGGATCCCCTCTCAGGCATGCCTTCAGTCTGCCCTGGAAGGACTTTAGCTGAAGCTGTCTGTACAAACTGGCAGCTGAGTCAGGTACAGCCGTCGAATCACCTGTGCTTTGCTGCTCTCACTGCTGCACCGAAGGTTCGAAGCAATGCAAGAGAAATGGGGGACCCTAAAATACCACTCCAACAGAAAACATAAGCTCCTCCACGTGTGCAGACCCCTTATTCTCAAAAGAATTCAATTTCCGCAATAAAAGTGAAAGGGTAATGAGGTGGTGAGGAAGGGAAGGAGCTTTGCTACCAATGGTGCTTTCAGCACATCGCTTTGGGGGATGTCTCAGGAGATGATGGAAGAAGTGGCCAGGCCACTGATTGCCTCCAGGAGGTGACGGGCAGGCCAGCAGCTCGTGGAAATAGCTTCACATCTGCTTTCTACATTCCAAGGACTGGAAAAAACTCCCTCCTTTCTTCTATCCCTGAGACGGGATAGTCCCAACGCATCCAGGTTTCTAGTTGCAGTGGAACTGGAAAGAGCAGCCCCAGGTGCCAAAGGGAAGGGTGCATTAATGACCCCAAGGGACAGCGGGTTCGGATGCAGTTTCCAGAGGGTGTAACGGCTGCTGAAGGGCGCTCCTCTTCTTCCTCTTTGTCTAGTTTATTACTCAGGCTCTAACCTTTCAGGAACCGAGCAGCGCTTACCAGTTATGTTGTCAAGGGCTGTAAGATTTGGCGTTGCCCCTGCGATCTGCAGAGGGCAGGGACCAGCTCACAGAGCTGCCTTTATTCCCGCACCGATCCCCCCCTCCCTCCCTCCCCGCGGCGGGGCGGTGCGGGGCAGCGGGGGGCTCTGCAGCCGCAAACCCCGGGGAGGACGGAGAAAACCCCAAGAGGCGCATCCAGCCGCCGAAATCCAGCGGTTTCAGCCCGAGCCCGTCCATCCCTCCCTCGGCATTTTCCTGATTCAGCACAACCGAGGGTTTCGGCACGACTTGCCGAGAGAAGCCCGGCGGCGCCGGCAGACACGGCGGCGAGCGCGGCGCGGCGCTGCCCTGCCCGCAGCGGCAGGGAGCTTTTCGGGAACAAACC